ATAAACAAATATTATTTGTGTCTATTTCAGCTTGCTCAGGTTATGTGTGTGAGTTTGTTTGTGTGTGCCTCTGTGTGTGTGTATGTGTGCCTCTGTGTGTGTGTATTGGTGCGTGCGTGCGTGCATGCGTGTGTGTGTGTGTGTGTTTTCAGCTCACCCTGGTCATGTGTCATTTCATCTGATTGCATCATCTAGTGTAAACGAATACTATCCATTCATTTTACACGCATCTCAGTGCGCTGGATATTGTGAGTGAGCCACTTCACTTCAAGTGGAACTCGGAAGATCCACTTTATTGAATCTCTTCACTTCGGTCACAATAAGACAGAACCACTCTATCAGGGAATTCCTCTACGTATATCCAATGTCAACACACAGAAACACTTCGAGCAAAGACTGACTGACTGAGTTTGGTTTTACGCCGCTTTTAGCAATATTCCAGCAACATCACGGCGGGGACACCAGAAATGGGCTTCACACATTGTACCCATGTGGGGATTCGAACCCGGGTCTTCGGCGTGACGAGCCAACGCTTTAACCACTAGGCTACCCCACCGCCCTCGAGCAAAGAGAAACCCCTCCGGGTACAGTGTATTCTAATAAATAGCATTCCTCTCCACGTATAGCCTGGGAGATCCACTTCATGTACAACCCTGTAGAACCAACCCACGTTGGACTACGGTGCATTGTGAATCCACGAGAAAGTACCGTATTCTGAACCATAGAAACGAAGCATGTCAAATACGGATAAATGGTACATCATGACAAGCGATGCATCTGGAACTTGAGTTAACATATCGAACATCGAGCTGGCGCGTGTTTCACAAGGTTGAATCAATTCACTTCCTGCAGGAGAGCTGTTATATGTTTTCGTCATTACATTCGTATCATGTATCAAGACATATGAACCTACCCGTGAAGGTCCGGGTTAGAATGAACCTTCAGTAACCCATGCTTGTCGTAAGAGGCGACTAACGGGATCGGGTGGTCAGGCTCGTTGACTTGGTTGACACATGTCATCGGTTCCCAATTCCACAGATCGATGTTCATGCTGTTGATCACTGGATTGTCTGGTCCAGGCTCGATTATTTACAGACCACCGCCATATAGTTGGAATATTGCTGAGTGCAGCGTAAAACAAAACTCACTCACTCACTCATATATGAACCTCATCACAAACTTCGAGTTTGCCTACGTTTTTCTTTATCCACGAATATTCCTGTATCACTCATGAACGCTGCTTGCATCCAGACATTGGACCGTATTTCTTGATGTACCAATATCTGCAGCTCTTCACATTAATAGCAACCTATGAAGGTCCGGGTTAGAATTGGTCTTCAGTAACCCATGTTTGTCGTCAGAGGCGACTAACGGGATCGGGTGATCAGGCTCGATGACTTGGTTGACACATGTCATCGTATCCAAATTGCTTAGATGGATGCTCATGCTGATAATCACTGGATTGTCTGGTCCAGAATCGATTATGTACAGGTGGAATATTGCTGAGGCCGGCGTTAAACAACAACCAAACCAAAACAACCAAACCATTGGAAAATCACATTAATAGTAGTTTATGCCGTAGGTGTCAAATTTACTTTAAGTTTAAATTCTCAAATTTACTTTGTAAGTGTCATTGTGTATATCAATGTTATCAGAATCTCATTTAAGACAACACGGACCCACGATTAAGCAGGACAAGATGTCTGTCAACACCAAAAAGGCTGAGAGAGTCACGAAGAAACATGACCCCTGGTTTTCATCTGGATTTCACAAACACCTAAGGCCCATAAGAATGAAGTGATGATATAGTCTATAACACTGCAAATTAGAAACGTCGTACGTTGTCGCGTTGACCCGCCATTTTGATTATAAGCCACCTTAGACTCTACACATGACATGTTTGTGCATGGAGCTTCGACTCTTTTCATGTAATCTCCCAAATGAAGATAACCTGATCTACATTGAAACTTGCTATCAAATTTAGCGTCCTGTAACCACAGTCTAACGTTATTAGCGTGTCTTCTAGTATCAGTTTTGTTCCATAACTGTGTTTTATCTTAGGATGTAAATGCGCATTCATTTTGTAGTGAGTAAGTGAGTGAGTTAAGATTTAGTCACATCGGCAATATTTCAGCCATATCGTTACTGTAACAAATTACAAATTCAAAATAATGCAATTAAATTAAAACACTGTCGACGAAGGACAGTAAAGTAACTAGATTATCACAGATAGAGAATTAAAACCAGAATGTAACTGTAAACGTAAACAAATTTTATGAAGAATACAATATATAAAACGGACTTGAGATCACCAGCAACTGGAGGTACATTGTAGGTCACCATACTTGTATTGTTTGAATTGATAATAGTGTCAGTAGGCATCTTTTTAAGAAGTTCGTCCCTCAGTGAAATAATTTTTATTTCGACTGATTTGTCTGATTTGTCATTGTATGAGAGATCAGTAGTTTCTGATGTATTGGTTAAATGTGGCTGGAAATGGTGGTATGCTACACGGCCTGTTATAGTACGATACCGTTTCTAACCTACACAATGAAATATATCAAGGACGAGTGTAGCATTGTATCTAAACCTCACGTGAATGTCAAATGTCTAAGTTATTACCGATGAAATATGAATACAAGACTCCAGTTTGAATGCATATGGCTGCTTATTTCATATTTAGGTAAACTTTGCTCTCAAACCAAACCAGTTTATACATTTATGTATTCTTTTGGCTTTCAGTTACCTTCAGAAACATATTTTCGTAAACGTTTATCTATACAAGACAATATTAACACATTCCGAAGATCCTCTGGCTCACGAAACTTGTGGTCGTCGAGGTTAAAGGGAGGCCACTCTAAACGTGTATGACGATCAAAGCTAACCTGTGACAATGTTGTTGTTGAAGTATACGTGTGTCTCAATTTCACAGAATCGAAATATTAAGTGAAAGCAGATATCTCTTTGCAAAGGCATTCATTTTAAACCAAACCACAACAACAAAATGTTAAACAATTAAGCAGTTGTGATATTAAATTAACTAGGTTTACAGATCAATACAAACAATTTCAAAAAAATATTTACAGTGGCACTGTTAAAAAAAAAAGCAAACAGTGGTAATAGCAATAAGGTTTGTGACGATTTTATCTACAACAGTGGTCATTTGTCCATGATAGGTTTTAAAGTGAATATGGAATAAAGATTACTGATGACCAGAAATGATAATATACTGCTAAGGAGCAAAACTTCATTCCACTAAGCGACAGTCGTAAATCAATATTAAAGTGTCGTAGAAACGATCGAAGAGCAGCATTGATAGGTTCCTGGAACGTAGCTCTACACTTTGACATTACACAAAAGATACTGGTTACCTCACCACTCCTTGTCCCATACAGATCTATTGTGTGGCAAAGCACTACACCGTCAATATCTTGTTTATGTCTATGCGTACAGGCGTAAAGTTATTTAAAAGGAAACTAAAGATAAATTAGACATGAGTATTAATTCTATTTCGTATGTATTATCAAAAGATAGCTACACAGATAAGATGAAGCCATGGTGAACGTTTGAACATAGAAATCAAGCATTTTACAGGCTCATCGATGAGGATAGGCGATGTTCTGCTTAGTTTTAATGATATTGTCATTTAGAAGGTGAGCTGAATGTAACGTTTTACGTCTCATTCATGATTATTTCACTTATGCAAGCAAATGTGTGTGTGTTCGAGACACACACATAGGGAGAGGGAGAGCGAAAGAGTGTGTTCGGCATTTGTTTGTTTTGTTTTGTTGTTTCTTGTTTTTTCTTTGTTTTGTTTTTTGTTCGTTTTGCTGTTGTTGTTGTGGTGGTGGTTGGTAGGCTGGTGTGTGTGTGTGTGTGTGTGTGTGTGTGTGTGTGTGTGTGTGTGTGTGTGTGTGTGTGTGTGAGGGAGAGAGAGACATGTACATGTATATACAATTGACTTATACAAGAGACTTCCGAAAATGAACATAAATCATTATACACAAGTTTATACATCAGCAAAAGTCAAGCAGTGTACCATTGAAGGAGATGTCGTCTTAATCGGCATTTGTATAAATAAAATCGTAAAATAACAGTTTCCCATGCCTCTTGATCAACATTATCATTCAAAGGCAACATAGGTGTCCACATCAAGAATGTCAATCATAACACAAAAAATTGGTTTCTCTCAATGTTAAGTTGTTCACAGTGTAGGAGTGTATAAAAAAATCATAATCATAAGTATATTTGTTACATAGGTTACATTCCTTAGATATTTAGCCACGTGGTGGGACAGGAGAGACATTGAGAGAGAGAGAGAGAGACCAGAGAGAGAGAGAGAGAGAGAGAGAGAGAGAGAGAGAGAGAGAGAGAGAGAGAGAGAGAGAGAGAGAGAGAGAGAGAGAGAGAGAGAGAGAGAGAGAGACATGGTGACAGAGAGAGAGAAGAGTCAGAGAGAGAAGGTGACAACATGTATTGCATTCTATAAACGTCTGTCCTTGTGATCACAAACCAACCGTCCTCCCGGGCTGACGCTCTGTCCATTACACTTTGCAGATACCATTCTAGGTTATGACAAGAGCATTGACGTTGACATCCCTGCTTATACTTTGGGACAGACAAACGATAAAGAAACATACAAACACAACCAAGACAGGGTACTCAGTAATTACGAAGAACAGAGAACTTGCAATGTGCTGCATCTCCTTTCGTGACTTCATATGTATTGGGAAACAGTTAACGTTGTGACATAATACGTAGGGTGTGATGTCTTCCGTATAAGCATTTCTTATGTTTATATCCTAAATATCTCATCTATGCACACTTTGATAACTGCTGTGTATGCAGTACTTTGATGTCGGAGTTCATACAGTGACACACTAAAGCCGATGAGTTCTATTTTCTAAATTCAAATCAACAACCAACTTCACAAACTGAACTGATACAACCCAAACCACTATTTTCAGTTTAACTCCATGCTTTGCCATTGAAGAATGACATTCATACACTGTTTAAATTTGGAACTATAAAACAATTAGCATTTATCATGTAAAACTTAGCTCAATGTTCAGTAAATTAAAATTTTAAGCAGTCAAATAATCTATAGATGGAATAGATCCACAATGTTCTATTTACAGAAACTGAAGCTGTCTAACTCCTATATCAGCAAATAATGGAGCCCATTTCATACTTTCACCATACGCAGTGAATGGATTGCGCATGTGCAAAGAAGCTGATAAAGCATGTAAGATATGTTGAAATTATACATCTATTCAAGGTGATGTTTTTATGCGTTGACATAAACTGAAGATTCCAGTCGTCGCTGGGCGAACTCCAGACATAGGCAGACATCCTCCTGCAAAGAAGCCATCGCATTATGCCTGAATAATGCGGATAGTCAAATTGAGCCGATTGCAAAAACGTTCAATTATTATTCTAAGTCTTTTAAGTGATATGTCAACTCATAATAATCTTTTGTCATAAAATTAAATTGTCATAAATCGCTAGCTGTATCGTCATCTGTATTAAACATTTAAGATAATAGTCGAATACTTAAATACAATGTATATTGCTAGCCAAGACACATACAAGGCAAAGGGGTTGGGGTGGAGGCGGGTCTTTCATAATATCCAAATCTACAATACCGGTAATCTGTCATACCTCCGTGAAAGGGGTCCACCGAGACTTGATTGCAGACGTCTCATGTTTCTGATGACGTCCACCCGGCCGTCGTCCATCAGTCTGCTGGCGATGTTCATCAGAAGGATCAGGAGACGGGCCTCACCCACTGAGCTGCAGTAAAGTGTCGGTACACACTAACATTAGAAGTTAGAGGCCCAGACATGGTCAAAGAGGTAAACTGAACTGGCACTTGTAGCTCACATAAACATACAAGAGGTCAGGAATCCAGACATACTCAACGAGTTATTTAAGTGCCAGCGCTCTCACACATGAGCACATATTAAGAGGGCTTTTCCAATAGAAAACTCACATGCACACCCGATGATGTCACATACAAATGTGGAAGTTGACTAAGGAATCTGTGAAACAAAACATAACGTATAAGACCATGAGCTTGTGAGTCATTTAGATAGTAGATAGATTCAAATAGTCATTTTGTTGTTGTTGTAGCATCAAACTGCCTATCTAGGACCATCAATTCCAACACAAAATGTACTTAGCGAGCATGCAATTACTCTGAAGAAGGCTGTGTGCTTAGTTTGGGAAGGCCACTGCTGCAAATGCAACAACTATTTGTTTCATGAAAGTTGTATATGCGGGAACACCTATACCTGTTACACTTGAGAAGGAAATGTGAACACAGAAAGTATGGCAAACTAAATAATGGCGGCTATATGATTCTATATGAAAGTCCCTCAGAGTAAATGAATCGATTGTTCGCAATACTTGAATTATATATTTTGGAATTGTTTGTCATGTTGTGCTTTTGTATATGTAAGTAGTGTCACTGGTCTAATGCAACAATATTTATATGTACTGACTTAAATGTGAGGGAGGAAAGTATAACAGATCACTCTTACTGAGAAACCACTGTACAAGAGCATTGCTGTTGGTCATTCAACCGTGTCAGTAAACTGTCAATCAGCAGAGTCACACTTTGGTTACGTGTACTTCCGGTCAAGTGATAGTGTTGAATGAATGTTGAGCCATCAGCATCCTGAAAAAGAAAAGCAGTTTATTTTGAACCAATTTTGTCACGTTGTAGATTATTTGTCGCTTCTCCTTTCTGATATCACAGGATTATGATACCTCAGGCAGTAACCTGATCCATTGTCCAGATGGACTTCTAGATTACGTTCTGTTTTCATAAACAGTTGACCTGACTTTGCGTGTTTTTGTGACGGCAGCTATCACAGGCGTAAAATACGCTCGTGTTTGAGCTCTGGGTGCCATTACAAGGTGATAGTGATTTCACACCACTGATATGGCGGGAATCGTCCAACAGACTCGACATTTAGCTGGGGTTTCGCAATTATAAACAACTGACCTGGCTTTGCGTGTTTTGTTATGGCAGCTATCACTGCTGCCAAATACGCTCGTCTTTTCACGGGCACCCGGTGTCATTACAAGCTTAAGTTGATAGTGGCCATCACACACACTTCTGATATGGCGGGAAATCTCCAATGGACTTAGCTGGGGTTTCGTATCAACATATCTCACACATCTCTATATTTACTCAATAGCTATAAATCATGATAGTTTTCAGTTCTTCGTAATTGAGTGTGTTTTGTATAGATGCAACCATAAAATATTCATATACTGACTAGCAAAAGAAATGCATTTCAAGAAATCAAAACATGATTTCATTGATCATGCTGAAAAGTATAATTTTGATGAATTCTGGGGTGCAAATCCGGATCTTCATGGATTTCTGTATTGCATTCAAAGAATATCTTTAAGCATTTGAAGGAAGCCTGCTTTAAAAGTTTAGTGTAATTATACCTCTGCTGTAAGTTCAACGGTGTTGAGGAGAACATCATCAGATATTACTGTAGAACCGCGCATACCCGCTTCAATCCTTGCTGGTGTGATGGAACTGTCGTTTGAGGGAAGGTACACCTGGAAAGAGTTTAATTGTTAATTATTATTGACATTAGAAATATTTTAAGGAAAACATGTATGTCCATTAACACGCGCTGACAGAAACAATAAGAAGGTACAGAGAAAGTTCTCTTTCTCCCCAAACACATGAAATTTCCGTACCAGTTTGTCTGCATCCCAAAGTGATCAAAATGCGGGAATCACTTTTATACACTTGACTCCACACTTCCTCCTTGTTTGACTCGACAAAACGACGAAACCATTCTTGGATTTGTGTGACTGCAAAAATAATGAAAAGAGTCCATGTATATATCCGACGCAAACAGAAACATAGAAGTATGAAAAACATAAGGTGCCTTTTAATCGTCGAGGGCGAACAGTAAAATGAATTGTTGTTGGCTGAGTTATACAGGATGCTATACTCACTGATAATGTGGTAACTGGATCTCTTTTAAACCCTTCTGAAATAAAATTTCAAGGTGAATTTCAACTACATATATATTTTTTATCGAAATAAGATGCTTGTTCATTAACCGATTTGAGTTTACAGTTGAAGAAATTGTGGAAAACAGGAAAAGAAAAGAAAATCGATAAATGCAATTACCTTCTCTTTTTTTCCAATACCTGCAAACAAATATCATAACAATCTTTGAATTCCAACGCTTTTGCGATTGTCGATTCATGGTCACATCGATATAAATGCACTATATTTCAGCCAAGTTTATTTGTTCATGGATTTGTACCCGTGCAGATCCGGGTTAGAATGGGTCTTCAGCAACCAAAGCTTATCGTAAGAGGGATAGGGTGGTCAGGCTCGCTGACTTGGTTGATGTCATCGTATCCCAGTTGGATATATCTATGCTCAGGTTGATAGCCACTGGATTGTCTGGTCCAGATTCAACTATTTAGAGACCGTTGTTATACAGCTGGAATATTGCTGAGTGCGGCGTTAAACAATAATAAACAATATACAAACAAGAAAATGTTCTGGAGTTGACCCACCTCAAGATGTTGCTGTACATTCTTGTTGCCCATGGTAACCTCAGACACGTGACTGAGATCAGTCTGTATGATCATGTCCGAGTCCAATGAGGTGTCCCCTCTGACACCGCCATGTCCACGACCTGGTGCAGGAACATGTACTGCTCCTGGTGTTAGACGAAGAGAAAATGATGTCAGGAAGCCAGGATAGATAACATATAAACTGCACAGTGTGTTGGTGGTGTACTCACCTTATTCTGTATCATGTTCTTCCTTTGGCCTCTCATGCTGGAAATGAAGCTGACGACGTCAGCTTTGCCTTCTACCGCTGCCTGATCCACGAGACTCTCTATAGCTATATACGTCCCTGTCCGTCCAACACCAGCACTGGCAAAACAAAGGAAGCAGTCATAATATATGGGATACATCCAGTAACATCTAACATGCGAATTAGTCATTAGATTCCCGCAGTCTTTTGTATGTGTAAAATATAGTGTGTAATGCATTGTCCAAATGTTAATGGAGGGCTTCTCGTATGTGTGAACATTTTAGTCCACTTTTTAATCAGCCCAATAGCATTTGCATTTCTGCCAAAATTATGTGCACGAAGAAACAATGTCAAAGGAAATGCTTTTTTAGAAATAGCTTATTATTGATGTCATTTATCAAAGAAGCAGACACATTCATTACATAATTAAAACAATGTCGGGTGAATGACTAGAACTGTTTTACCGTTGTTATGGATAAAAATGTAAAAAAAACTTATGAAATATAATCTTTATGTTTAACGTTCAATGTTAAAGACGGCAGTGCGTGATATGTGTGAAAGTCAATTATAATAGCAATAGTGAATTTAAACAGTGACGAAAAACGCTTCTCGAAACTAGCTCATAATCAACTGGGGCCGATACCACGAAGAAAGTTCCAATTCACTTAATTACAACACTTACCAATGGAGCCACTGGTATACATTCCTGTGTGTTTTAAAAACAAACAATACATACAATGAACTGTGACTGTTCAGTAAAGTAAATGTGAATAACTGTAAGTGGTTACTGGTTGCTGTCATCTATTTGATTCCAGTAAATGCATATGCACGTGTATGATCAGACAAACCATGTACCTGCAATGAATAACGATCGGGTGTTCTAGCCCGCCGGAAGTGCCCTTGACTCTCCACATAAACTCCAGAAAGGCGGAAGTGTCTGGTGCGTCATTATCTGGCCAGCCCTTGAATTGAAAGTGGTTGAGATGTCGGACCTTGGCTTCCTAGTATTTTGTATAATAGTTGTTGATAGTATTTAAGAATGTATGTGTGCTGTACAATACAATTAAACTCCTATAACAAACTTTTATCGGGACAAATACTGAAATAAGGCTTGTCACATCAATAACCCTGCATCACATTCGATGTGTTTTTCGGGTTTTTACTACGATTTACATTAATTCGCGTTTTCAATAGGAGAGTGAGTGAGATGGGTTTTACGCCGCTTTTAGCAATATTCCTGCAATATCACGGCGGTTCAATAAGAAAACACTCAGTGACATGCCACACAGTCATCAAATGTTGGGATTATCTTCTCTTTTCCTTTATTTGTGATGTGTGTGAAGCAAAACATCTTCTATACCTTTTCATTCTGAAGGGACAATCTGGTGATTTTGTAGTTTGCGAGGCGTGCTTCTGTCTCCATGGTAACTGTAATGTCACCAAATTGGAGGGAGCCTTGCTTAGGCCAGTACTGAAGACACTTCATCTGCAACAGTAACAGGGGGATATTACACATATCGACACCATTCACTCTGGTTTTGGGAAGTTAGTCTGTAGCATAATATTAGGGAAATTCATACATTGGAGAAACAACCATCACATAATACTCTAACAGTAACAATGTTTAATCTATGTCTTTGAGCCTTGTCATTTTTTTCCAATGGATGTTTTGTTTCCTTTTCTGCCACAAGAAAGGATAACCTTATTACCTTCCCTGTCTCAACAAGCTCCGTCAACATGACAACTGTTGCACAATGCTCCTGGTAGATCATCCTCCAGAAATCCACCACGACTTCTGGTCTGTAGGGACCTAATGGAAACTTCACATGAATATGCGGGATACTATACAGATAACTACACAAAGCCACCTTTAAAAAAATATCAAAAGGGGTATCACTATTCCCTTGTACTGACTTGAACAGCTAATTTGCCATGAAGATTTTATCAATTTTATCTGTCACAAATTGCATTTCGGAGACCTTTGTTCTGGTGAAGAGTTACCTTGTGCTGCGATGTAACGTTTCTCTGCTTTATAACCCTGGAAAAATATGTTTAATGTCATTTCAGCAAACGGTTCAGACCTTTACCTCTTCATAGTATTTATGCTTTATACGCTCACATATACTCACATACTTTATCATAATAGCTGTACGATATAAGCGAGTCTCAATGTTGCTCGCATATATGTGTCTATGTGTCTGTATAACATAAACATATAAACTGAGACATTATAGCCCACACATGTATCATTTAAACAGAATTTAATAAAATTATTATGATAGGGTATTTAGTTCTTTGTTACATAAAAGTTAAGAGTTTTGATTGCAGTTCAGGTCGTCATACTGAATTTGGGCAAAAACTCACGTCAATGTAGCTGGCGTTGATGTAGTCTCCTCTTGTGCTCTCACTGCCGTCGTGCAACACCACACGGTTGTAGTCATCTATTTGTTAAAATAATGACATCGATTTTTTGACAATGGCAGACTTATTACATGGCAAATCTTAGCATTTGCTTCCACCCCTCCTCTGCAAAATGTACTTACATGGGTAATATCCTTTGAACCTGTTTTTTCCTTTGTTTCTAGGATGTTGAGATTCGCTATAGGAGTGGACGAAACCCTCCGGTAGTCGCTGAAAAATAACACAATTACACATCTAAACCCTTTTCCTTTTGATAAAGTATGAGTGGGGCGTTAAACAAGAGAAATATTCAGTATGACCAAAGTTTAAGCAGAACAAACAACACTGGACACAACTTACATAAAATTCTTCTACTGCTGATTTCATTTGCTCGTCTATCTGAGGCTGGGACAACGGAATCACTTGGCGGTGTCCAGCATCGTAAGTGTTGTAGTAGTTCCTGCCAGGGACATCTGGTGTGTCTTCAACCTGTACAACCAGGGCAATGGCATTGTGGTCCTCATCATCCGTCTCTTGGGGGACTTCACGCTTTAGGTCACGGTCACGTGAACCCCCTCTAGCTGATTTCTTGTTGACAGTCGTATAGACATCCCGTGGAGACTTCGACTGAATGCCACCAAACGCTCTTTCTTCTGGATTCTTTCTGGACGGTTCATCTACTGTTTCTTCTTTCTCGAAGCTAAGATTCACGTACTTACTGCTGTCGTTCACTGGAAGTAAACACGTGTCGTGATTATTAAACCATTTAATGGAACAGTACATGGAACAAGCCCCGATGCATGACTTGCGTCACCCAACATAAATTTTGAAAACTGAATTTGGACTGAAAATGACTGCAATGTTTCTCGTAAGAGGGATATTGAGAATCTAGCGCGAAATAACATCAGAGTGCCATGAAAGCAATATTTATAGTCTTCAAATGAGGTTATTTGAAGCTAGATATTTCTTATTCACTGTGCATGTTGCAACGAAAATGATAAGAAGGAATGATTAAAACTACCTTCACTAATCCTTCCTTTTACAGGCTTGTCAGTGTCGGGCTTGTCTCGTGCACTCTCTTTTGCTTTCCGCGTCTTCTACAAAGCATAAGCATAAATCTTAAATGTTTTGGAATATCTGTATGAAAGGAAACGTTCCACCATCTTGATACTATAGTCAATCTACCCAATATACAATCCCGTGATGACTGCCAAAAGGAAATATTAACCAAAGTTCAAAATCTTAATAGCCTAAGACACTAAACTGATAAAGGTATACATATACTGAGTCAAAAAAGAAACTTCACAAAATGTAATTTGAAAAATAATGAATAATTTTTCTCTGATGATACATCTATGTATCCGAAATGGGATCCCTATCTTTCGACTCTAGAAAAACGTTAGCAAAACCCACTCAAACCCATCCATTCGTCGTGCAAATGACGTTAGTGCCAAATCAGGTTTTGCACGTGCAGTCGATCACGTGATCTTCGCATGGAAGTTTTCTTCATATGCACGTGTTTGCATTGGCCTCAAGAAATGAAAAACACTTTTAAACCACAGTTCTAACGGTACTTGAAATGCCACGATTGTCAAATGTGCAACGCGAACGTGCCGTTGGCATGTTGCAAGCGGGAAGATCAGTTATTGACGTCGCAAGAGCAATGGGATGCAGCCGTCGTACTGTGTATGACTTGCGAGGTCGTCTACAACAAACTGGCACCACTTCTGATCGCCCAAGGTCGGGTCGTCCACGTGTGACGTCACGAGCAGAAGACCGTCAAATCGTCCTACGTCACCTACGTGACAGATTTCTGCCGGCTACACGAACTAGGGCTGAGATGTTTAGAGGTCGACTGTCCTCACAGACCATTCGAAATCGGTTGCGGGCTGCCAATCTCCATTCTCGACGTCCATATCGTGGGCCAATATTGACGCCGTTTCATCAACGTCAACGTCTGCTGTGGGCCCAACGTCACCTCCGATGGACCCAGAGAGACTGGAATCGAGTCGTCTTTAGCGATGAATCCAGGTTTACCCTCAGATTCGCGGACGGCAGGCATAGAGTCTGGAGACGACGTCGTGAACGGTATGCCCAATGTTGTGTACAGGAAGTCGACAGATTCGGGGGCGGAAGTTGCATGGTGTGGGGTGCTTTCTGTGGGAACAACCGTTCCCGACTTCTGGTCATCCGTGGAAACCTCACAGCTGCTGCTTACCGCGACCAGGCGCTCACCCCTGAACTCGTTCCTTTCATGGCGGCTCATGGCCCAGGTCTACAGTTCCAGCATGATAATGCTCGGCTGCATACCGCGATGTTCACACGAAATTTCCTTCAAACGCTGGAATCAACGTCATGGACTGGCCATCGAGGTCCCCTGACCTTAATCCAATAGAGCACGTTTGGGATGCACTTGGGAGAAGGCTTCGTGGTGTTAGGAACCAACCTCTGAATTTGCAGGAACTTGGCGCTGCCTTGCAAGAGCAATGGCGCAGAATCTCCAACCACGTGTTCACAAGCATCAGGCAGTCGATGAGGAGACGGTGTTTGGCAGTGGTGAATGCGCGGGGCGGCCATACACGATATTGAACTGAGAAATTTCGCATTTATATTCTTGTGACTTGACATTCTGTATACCCATGTTTTGGAACGGCGGTGTAGCCTAATGGAACTGATTATGGCACTGTCAGTGTATCGAGTACATCACACAGATCTCAGCAATGAAATAATAACAATTTAACCATCTTAACATCTCTTTGTTCTTTTATAGTGCCCTGAAGAAAGAATGTGAAGTTTCTTTTTGACTCAGTATATTTCCATCAGTTAGGAGTCTCGTGTATGTCAATGCTATGGGCAAAACGTCCCTTGCTCCAATCCGTCAAGATAACACTGATTAACTTTTCAACCTAATTTGACTAGACATCATTTCGGCGTTAGGTATATTAGTTATTATGTGTAGATGTGTTCTGAGTTGTTTAGAGTTAGAGTGAAAGTCTTTGTTGTGGTCAGTGAATGACCGAGTATGAAAGATACTGATTATCAAAGAGTTTTAGAAATTTAGAGTTCCAATTCTTGTTTTCCCCAAACTATTTATCAAAACAGATTCAAGTTTTTGTTCATTTGTATTGAACGTTCAATATGTGTGTGCAGTCTTGTAAAGTATGTATATATCATAGTGGCAGTTGCATCTGTGCCACCATCCTTTGATCCATGAAGGAAGATATATATGTAGGTATCATGAATATGGTTCTTAATTCATTATATTGTTGTTGGAAAATAAGTAAGCATTTACAATTTTGAATAGATTCAGATGTGCAGTAAGGGTCGATGTGGTGTATTGTGCAAAGGAACGCGATTCCTGGAACCAGTGCCCTCAACCACCAGAATAGTAAACGATTCTGTTATACAACTGTTCAGATCCAAATACACATATGCTATTAAATCTATACAGGTATAGTTCGTTTGGCTCAAAATCGGACCGATGAACTGCAGTCAAACTCGAAAACTACGAAACATATAATTCTCAAAGAAACACTGATCATTAACAAAACATCATACCAACTCCGTGATTTTTTGCAGAATGTATGTCCTAAAAATAACAAAGTTCACGATTTGTTACGGAGGAGGGGTGCAAAGAGACGATCGGCCAGGTGTGCGTGAAAGGATGGAGGCAGCACAGCACAGGTAAATGATTCAATAACACCTGGCTGTTCCTCTCTTTACAGTCCTCCCTCCTCATTTTTAATGATAGTTTGTTAAACAACTTTTTATTATTAGGACATAAATTCTGCAAACAAATCACAGAGTTGGTCTGATGTTTTGATCATGGTCAGTGTTTCATTGAATATTATATGTTTAGTAGTTTTCAAGTTAGATTGCAATTCATCGGTCCGATTTTGAGCCAAACGGACTATACAATGTACCTGTCAGTAACGCCATCTAAATAGTTTAGACATCGTTCGCCTGACATGATTTGAATATAAATGAATTCCTGCGAAGCAACATGCTTCTTTCTGTACAACTGGACGACTCCAGCCTTTCAAATTATGTCAGGCGATATGTTCATTGTGGCACATGCATGCGGTTGGTCAAATATAGATAATATTTTTAATTCAGACCCATGTGAGTGGAACTATTTATTATTTAATTAGCACAAGATATTAGATGCACTGCACATGGTTTATACATATTACAAAGATGATGGTGATACTTTCAGTAAGTAGGAAGGAGATAGGTTCCTAGTGGATATATAATGTGTACATGCTGTGCGCGTTAGTAAGTTAGTGTGAGTAAGCATTTACTGCATTAATTAGGTGGAAGTAAGTATCAGTTTTGTCCGTATATTTATAACCGCATGGTATCAGGTATTGTTGCTACCACCTGTTGACAGACCGTGAAAGAAGTGACTACTACCCACCTGATTAAGAGTACAACGAGGGCCAATACGAGGACAACCAGGACACCAGCCACTGTAGATACCACTATTAGTGGAAGTGTGATATTGAGGAAGTCATGATCGGTGCCTGATATTGGAGCTGCAAAGACATTGGTAAAGACGTTTCACCAGCATTCTTAAAACTGTTTCAGTCATTAACGTTAATCAATCAACGTTACCTTTTCGCTACCTGCACGCACACACACACACACACACACACACACACACACACACATACACACTCACAAATAAATACATAGATAGAGAGCGATATATACTGGACATCTTTCAGCACCACTGACATCACAATGCATGTGATGCCAAGCACAGCATCCACTGTCTTTGTCACAGTTTGAGCCATAGGAATCAGCAGTACATGCTGCCAGGAGGAAATGAGTCTATACCACATTCTTGCTAAATGTTTATTTGTTGGTTATTTCATTAATTGCAATGGATGTCGCCATCAGTAATCTCACGTTTATTGCCGATACGTTTCCTTTATGTTTATTTTATTTCCGTCCACCAGAAACAAGGTATTCCATGCAGATGTCATCTCAGCAACAACTAGTTAATAACGACATAACTGTTCAAGGTACATACTAACACCTAAAATGCATGTGCATTCATTGCCAGTTTTTACTGTCTGAACCTGAAAATCAGGCACCCAGAACCACACTCTCACCTGTATCACATCTTTGGGTTCGAACCATTCACGTCAGTAACACTTATATCATCAGAATGGGTGATGCGTTTCTAACAGCTTTCAGTATATAACAAGAAATGAAGAGCTCGCAATGTGTTGGACAGTTAATTAATTAATATATACTGATGTTCTTCTTGGTAGCTTTGTGTGACAGGCCTCCTTTCTGAATAACGTATTTATTTTAATTTCAAGTTTAATTCCAAGATCCGCCACCCAAATCTTTATCATTTATTACGAATAAAAATTCAACATTCTTTACCTCGTGTGCAATCAGCACCTGTCCAACCGGAAAGACATCCTGTGTCACATGCGCCATTGTGACGGTCGCATAACGAATTTGGAGCTGAACACTTCCGCCCAGTACACGTTTCGTTGCAGTTAATGCCATAGGTAGTGTTGTTGCAAGCAGTAAAGACAAATATCAAGTATATCATTTATAGAGTTACGTAGCAATAGAGTTTTCAAGCTTCCGAGGTAAGTGTGTGAAACGAATCATGCGGTGATGTCGATCCACCACTTAACATTCCCCTAGACACGAGGTCAAAGCTCGAGTCTTGTTTTTCCCTCGCATCAATTATGACTAACCTGAGGTCACAGTCAACAATAGGGCGAGTATACCTTAGCCCGTATACTATCTACGGTATCCAGTACCACTGACTGGAACCCACCAATCCTGCTAGAAGAAACGTCTCACCTGTATCACATCTCTGTCCCTGCCACGCTGGTCTACAGTCTCTAGTACCACTGACTGGAACCCACCAATCCTGCCAGCAGTAACGTCTCACCTGTGTCACATCTCTGCCCTGCCATCCTGGTCTACAGTCTCCAGGACACAATCCAGTCCACCGATCACAGGTTGAATTCAGGCAGTGACAGAAACTATCACAGTCTTTCCAATAGATATTCTGACTGCAGACTGTAACAGGTAAAATGTCTTTTAGTGCTACTATTTAAGAAACGCGTACAAAACAATATGAATAATCTGAAGGAAAGTGACTCATCTTAATTCATACACATACATGAAGATAAGTTATGAGTTTCATATCTTTGAAAGGCATTTAGAAGTGGAATACACCTAATGAAGAAGCAAGCATACACTTTGAAACGTCGTGTTATCCACAATAAACAAGTTGACGTCCATACATCTTGTTTTTTCTTATGTGTGTCAGACAGGAACTCGGCTCTTATCCGTACTGAAGACTAAACAGTCTTTTATTTGCAAACATTGTTTAACGAATAACTTTAGTTAGGATGTTCCTTTTGAAACAATTACCATTACCAGATTTTCCGAATTATAGTGAATATTTTGAAGGGTGATAATGTGCAGTGTACGCATTATTCAAACCATCATGTAGGTGTTTGACATAAATCAAATATGTCACCTCGTAAATGCAATGTCATTCGTTTGTTTCTAGATATGTCAAAATTATCTCTGTGTGTAAAACCAGTCAATATGGTACTTTAATCATTGAATAATTGTGAATGATTACTTGAGTTATATTTACATATTACAATCAAATACATAATCGAGATCAGTACAAAAGATAATACCATTTACATCACATTTCTAACTCAATGATTTCTTAACGTCGAGAAATGATTATATAGTTCCTCAAAAACAAATTGAAATATAATCAAAGGGTGATATGTTTGCACATGCTTGTGAACAAAGATTAACTATTTATTCATCAGTAAAGGAATTTTATATGTAGAAATTTGCATTGAGCATCAGTGAGATCTCGGTAATTTCTCATCCCCTTGTCTAGTTAGAGTGATCAAAATTTTTGTGGATCAAGACCAAGACATTAAAGGGTATCGGAACGTCTCTCTTTAATGAAAACTTTCATGAAAATGTCAGTTTATCAGAGTAAGTGTTAACAACGGTTAAAAGCATGAACGTATAACATAACATCATCTTCACCATAAATCTCCACCTCACAGATGTTGAGTGTATCATTTTCTCCAGGCCCTGTCCCCAGGTTCTTGATCGTGACGTATCTGCCTGTACCGTTACACGTCACATCAGTTTGGCTGGTGGTGGTGTTGGATGAACTCGGGAGGGTAGAGCAGTTGGTGGTGGTGGTGTTGGTAGTGTTGTTCAGGGTATATGGTGTTCAGGTATATGGTAGAGTTGCCATTTCCCGTGTGAGCTTTTCGGAATATAATTAGCATTACATGAAACATATTTTTCACCAATCATTTATTGAATCTGGGCATCCGTGGTGTAGTAGTTAGAGCGGAAGGTCGCGGGTTCGATCCCCGGTCGCGTCATACCACCAAACGACGTTAAAATATGGTACTTGTTGGTCCCTGCCTGGCGCTCGGCATTAATTGGTACCAAAGACCAGCCGGTTCGGAGTCAGTAAAACGTGTGTGAGTGGGGTATTCATGCTTAACTGCTGCATGGCATTTCACTGAGCTAGCATTAAAACCGGCTGGGCTAGTACAGCCACACAAACACACGCATGCACGTCGTCATATGAGCGAAATACGCCGTTAAACCCCATTTCACCTCACCTCACAGATCGAGATGGGTACAAACAAAGTGGCTTATAACAACTTATGCGAAATAAATACAAATGAACATATCAATAACAATTTATTATTTCCAACTATTTTTCATACTCTCTTATTTGTATGCATGTTGGATTCAATTGTTAAATGTAATTGTGTTTTTATATTGAAATATGGAAGTAAACATGATACAATAATAACACAAAATATGCTGACGCTTAGGATACCTACATCCACTTCTACTGTAGATCCTGATGTCATACAGCTGGAAGTCCCGGCCCAGATCCACTGTCCAGTCTGACGGAGATGTAGCAGCGTGGAAACATGTTCTGTTCTCACCATCAATGTCATTGTCTCCATCCACTGGCGTTTGATGGGGACCAACCTTCAACCACTCCAGATGTTGTTGATGTTGTCTTGTTCAGTGCAATGTTTTCTAAATGCAAGCATGCATTTCGCATTGAACAATCTTCTCGTCAGGCGTTTTTATTCGCTTGTAATAAAAATATGTATTACCCATTTTAAAACATATATTTAAAGGTAAATGGTTTAATTTTCTTTTGTTTTACGGACGGCAAAACCATTTTACATGAAAAGCAGTGGCATACTCAAACAAAAGCTTTGTAAATATTTATCAATCAACGATCAAGAGCAAGTTCCTGTATGGATATGTCTAATGTACTTAATCACTGGATGGATGTCGGAGTACACTTATAAATGTGCATGCCTCTTCTATGTCAAAAGATTTTGAGAAGTGATGAGATCTGAATATTTCTGTCTGCCGTTTCTACGACGTGAATAGAAACGGTACTTTATATGAAGATTCTGGAACCATCCGGGTGACAATACTGACGATGGAAAGTAGATTACAGCATCATTTTACTGGAAAAAACATGTTCACGTTCAATCTGATGATACTGTTATCTAGAACAGATGAAGTCAGTAATGACTGTGACCATACCTGGGGCGCTCGTGTCGGCAAAACACTGGCTCATTATGGGCAGGCAAACATCTCGGAACACTCGCACTGGAAAGTCGTCTAACCGAAATGAATGTTTTCCCCACTTCCTGCAAGGTTTGGGGTTGACTCTGACTGAACTGGTCAAATGGACAGGGCGGACAGGTTGTTGTGTATGGGAATCATGTACGTCAGCAGCGAGCTGTGAGACTATTCCACAACATCACCCCCAAGTAATGGCACAATATGATTCTACAAGTGACGCTAATTCAGCGAACAATTTTTTGTAAATGCATGTTTTCAGACAACAGTCAGGGTCATTTATAAGATTTTGGGGTTCCGCCACTCAGACCTTCATGTGATCAGTGTGTTTATAAAGCGTTTCAGGATCATCTTGCGGAAATGTAAGCAGTAACCATGTTATCAGAAGCCTCTAAGTGTATATACTACAGGTCAAATGTCTGTGTTTAATGCGAATAGTTTGTTTTGTTGAGAGATCAGTGTCAGCGACCTTAGAGAGAAAATCCAAAACATTTTGTAAGTCCTGCCGAATCCTGAATAGTAGCCGTTGTCTGATTGGTTAACTTCTTTCGGCTGTCTCGCGTTTGATTGGACAGTCATAGGTCGCTCAAAGGTTAGCTTACGCGATCTTCAAGGGTTTGTTAGACTCTGCATAGCAGTGTAACGAATAAAGCTGGAGCCTAAGTTTACTTAAACTGTGTTAATAGGATGACATAAACCACATTCTTTTTGTACCAATAAAATGAACGAACGCCACATTTGAGTTACATGCAGCAGAGGTGAGAGCGTTGATGGACATGGGCCAAGCAAATGCCTGAATAAAGTCAGTCTGTGCATTCGATCTTGACATTATGTTGGAAATGTACCGAGGTTTTCTTTCTTCGATTGGTATTTATGCGTTTATTTGATGGATGTTTTTTCTTATGACCAGTAACTAGCATTAGTAGTACAGTGAAGCCTCGTTAATCCGGACGGTTGCGTTTTTCAGTAAATTCGTCCGGATTGCGAATAGTAGACTACTGAATCAAGACCCGTTGCTTCCCTAAGAATTACAAAACGACACGAATCTGATAAATCAAATTTTGGATTAAGCTTGCTTGTATCTTTGATGCGTTTCAGTTTAGAAATGTTTGTGTGCATGTATTCCAATGAACCGATCGGCAAGGTGATGTAATGATTCACTGCATTTGATTTTTAGGATTTCAAGTTTTACGATTTTTTTCAAACTTAATCGTGATTATTATGTGGCCCGTATCTTTTCCCCTTGATCCAATGATAACATTGAATATTTATTGCTCATATCATAGTTCCGTTCTCTTGACATTAATCCTTTTTGAATCTAATTGCTGATCGAAAGCATCACACCATTAAATCATGGATATCATCACACTGCATTGGCATTACCTCAATCAAGACCAGTGCTAAGAAAAACAGATTCAGTAAAATACACAGACAAATGCAACAGTTAACAATGTTTTGAGAATATTTGAAAACTGACATTTTGCAGAACTGTTCTGCAACAACTAAGATAAACCACTTCTTCTATTTTTTGTCGATTTTTACCTATTGTGACGCTGCACTGCCTTCGCCCGCTTCAGCAATACACAAAGAACAATGTCCCTCTCTCACCAAACCATCATTTATATGTGATCATTAGTTAAGTATCAGTTAAAGTGGTTCTTTCATTCATCTACAGGTATACATTAGTTCGACTTTGTTTAACCGTTTTGTTGTGTTTTGGATTGTCAATAATATTATGACACATCGTTTTAAGTTATCAAGTCGTGTATGTTTCTAAATCAAATATCTTTTGTGGAGCTTGTCATGTTGTAAATTTGCTGCTAATCTGTCAATGGATGCATTATGGATTGATCATGTTTCATGAATGCAGAATATATCTGCGGTCACCATCTGTGGGTGAGAGTTAAACCCCAATTATTTACAGATCAGAAGTTCACACGGTATCATATTTCGGAGACCAAATATTTCTTACTATTTCATATCAACATGTATGAATGTTACCGCCATTGGTTCTGTTATTTATAGTTTATATACTGTCGGTTTTATCCAGTTTCTTTATGAAATATGTTATGTAAAATATGTTCAAGAAAATACTCGCGGAAATGCTTAATTTGTAAGGGCTTATCTTGACATCTTGTCACCGCATGACTTTGCCCATGACATCACTTCTGAGGCATGGTCAGAAATGCTGCTACATTGATGGTGCAGCTTTAAACGCTGTTTCATCACTAAGTCACCCAGAAGCATGGCCACAGTCTAAGATATTGCTCACACACAAAATGAAAGTGATAATACGTATGTGATACTGACGCTTCTGGCACATGCTTCCCCCTTAATCCATCCAGACTCGCAGCCATCTGAACAGGCACCTGTTGTCTCGTTACAAGATGCACAGTGACAGGAGTAGCTACAGGAGTCTCCAAACATTCCTGACCGGCAGGAACCTAGGATTAGATAAAGAGATATTCAGCACTACAACCTGCTCTGATGTACGGAACCCTAAGAGAGATGAGATTCAAGAATCTCAAGACAAGCTACATTCGTTTGAGACTGACCTAGTGGGCAGAAGGAACCTATGGAGATATATAGAGGGATACGATTAAGAGACAAGACAGCTACAGGAGCCTACACGTGTCCTGGTTGGGAGGCAGCAGTCCCTGTGGGTAACAGTGATGGAAACATCAATGGGGTCTTCAAAGTGTCCTTGCGGACAGGAGCCAGGATAAAGCCACGGATAGAGATTCACCGTGAGAGGAATAAGAGCATGTGTCTATAAACTACTCAGGTGAGCAGGAGCCAGAAGGAGAGACAAGGATTATAACGTTACAGTGATACAAACAGGGTCTCCAAACTGATATTCTTTTTAATACGTTTCTTTAGAATTAATAGAAGGATTCGACATTTTATGGTTATCCCGAGTTCATATTTCGGAGGTTAACGTGAAAGTGTACCATCATTCTGCTATCATAATATATGTATAGGTTGCAAACTCTTGATCAACCAATCTGAGGTCGGGCTAACAGTTGGGCACGTTCTGGGTGTCGTACTGGGCATTTTTCCGCCCTAGGCGATAAGGCTTTCTTTGTAAAACACCTGGTCTGCTTAATTCAACTATTCTGTAACATATGCTATATTTTGGGATTACACTTTCTCATTGTGTATTCATATTCCGCCCGAGTTATACGCCCGAATGACCCTCCTGATGTGTGCAATGGAGCTTTATAGAATATTGATTTATAGATACCAATGTAGATTTGACGTCTTTCAGGGTTAAATCATTGTATCGATCGGTTTTATGCTTACTGTCAATGGACAAAAGTAAATATCGAGCAATGTAAAAGCTACAATTGCATTGAAGCACAAAGCAAACAAGTGATACACCCGTCAAATTATTCAATAAATGCTACACAATGACCAGGCATAAGAAGCGTCCTAGAGCAATCAGTAATCCTATGCTGCGGTCCCATTTCTATCAGAATGTGTTGATCGCTGGATTTACATCCAGATCCAGAAATTGCATGGTTTTCTGGTTCACCAAAACCTACGTGTCACTCCAGGTTTATCTCCCACACTCAACTTATACGACATAACAGAGACCCATGTGTTCCTCCAATGCGTCCAGAATACAACGTAAAGACTCAAAAACGTATTAGTTCAAATTATAAAAACAGTGGAGGTAAAAAGCAAGCTTACGATGCAGCTTGAACGAGAGGCTCATTTGTCATTTCATTTTTCATCAAACACTCAAATGTTTTGCATTAACATTTGGGACAGTGGCATTATTTGTGTCCTTGTATGGGATGCGTATTCCTACACCTATTATATGGGTGGAGACCTAACATTGACCCTAAGCCAACAGGAAAACAGATACAATCAATATAAGGATATAAATTAAGTACACTCACCCGATGTAATCTGTATCAGTCCCGCGAGAGGACTGCAACACCAAAGATCCTAAGGCCAGCCATGTTGAACAGCCAGGATCGTGTTTACAAATCATGTTAATCACAACGTCATGCTCGCTGACTCGTGTGTACAGCCTTTGAACGACAAAGGAGGTATATGCACAGGACGCATTACTGGCACCGTTATGCTCAATACACTTCAACAACTTTCTGAAAATGTGTTAGGGTTTGAACAACTAGATAGTTACAATGAATGTTATTGTCGTTACAATAACTGAATACTAGTCAATGGGCTCTATGTGTGCTTTGAGCTGACACAGTGTCTATTTCAAGTTGCATGTACGAAACAGTATTCTACACAAGTCATATCAAATCAAACCAAAAGCCACTTGTCAATGGAATGTTAAAGACAATATGTTATCACATTTGCTATTCATATTCCTGAGGTCAACGCCAAAGAATTACCAGCCTTGGATATCCGAATACATGAGAATATACTGGGCGAGAAAATGAAAATAATCAGGAACATTTTAATGAATAAATTAGGAATCACACCCTGTGGTAATGTATATATTAAATTAAGCCCGTCCTGCTCCACTTGCTTGTCATTGATCATATTTCACATTGAACAGAAGAGCAATACATATTGCAATCTGAACAGGGCTTTAACATATATATGTTTAATATAACCTACATTGTGGTTTTAAAAGCTATTTAAATGGTTTGTTCGTTCAACTCACTGATCATAGTCAATTGATACTCTTACTCTGATTTCTTTTTGTTGACAACCATCATTTTTCACATTTTATTTTTCAGAGGCAACCTTCCTGTTAACTCCACGCTTGGCTGGAGTACAATGGTCTTGTGTGTTTGTCATTTGTATGAGAGAATACAATATCACTGTCTAGTTTGTTATCGTACGAACTAATGTCACATGTTTTTGTCAGCAAATCATACCGCTGGCATTGTTTGAGGTCACCACATTTACAAAGGAAGCCTTCCTCGTACGAATTGATCCATGCTTGGGTGCATATTGTTAGACATTTAACTGTTGCGTCAACTTTGTTCCCGTCTTCTCAGTAAATTCATAGCCGTTATACCTCTGGCCTAAGTTTGTGGTGGTTATGGAACGATCAATGCTTTCAAATGTTACATCAGCACTGTCGGGTGTTCAGTGAAATGGTTATTTGTTTCCGGCTTGAACATTACTAAGTTCAATAACATTTAATACCTCAAGTAAAAATGGATGGTTATAAGATTTTATAAGTATATGATTTATATTGTGTGCGGACAACAAAATAAATTACTGGAGATGTTTGGAAAGATCCAAGACAAAGAAGAATGAGATGTGGTGGACAGAATCAATAAGTTTAAGGTTGCTTTTACATCATACACATCATCAAGCATTTGAAACAACAGACTTTCATTCCATACAAATTGTCAGATAACATTTCTTGTTAATTTAAGGTAGTTTCATTGGTGTTATGTTCGAAAAGCCATTCTAAAACGTTGACATGGATAAAAGATGGTGTCGGTTGCATCTTGTCGGTACGTGATTACTTGAGCCAACCACTCTTGCATATGATGCATAGATTTGGGCAATACCATAGTTACTTATCATAAATATGTTAGCTTCTGTAGTTGAAACATTACATTTAGCAGATTCTAGTTGTTAACTTTTACGTGTGTTTTGTTTATTAAATTAGAATTTATATAATATCTGCTTCTTGCAATATTTCAATATTCGCTGTTCTTCATGAAGACGTCTGTTGACTTTTTATAGCTGATACTTACCCAATATGAAGAGGTAGACAATTTAAAAATGTTCCGATACAAAACAGTATATCAAAATGATATAGGGACAATGTACTGTTTAGAAACGGTTTATTCACAATATTATGACAATGTTTGATGAAGAACTACCTGGACTTTGTGTCATGATAGCCTAATTTCCCTTCACCTTTTTCTATATTACATAGAAGAAGGTCCAGAAAGTCAATAGGCAAGGTAGGTCATGCAATGAAGGCCTTGTCGAGAGCTTGGTTCCCATGGTCTCCCCCAGACACCGCTTTCTTTATGACTTATAGACATGGAAAACATATCGCAACACCTATGATTTCTACTCCCAATGTAGCAATGTATACTCATGTCATAATTATGTTTGCTTGTATGATGATTCTGAGCTCTCGGGCGCTCCATGCATTGTTGACCGGAAACCTTCAGCAGTTCCACCTGTAAACTTGTCAACGTCATACACGTTCACGAAGAAAACGAATAAATATCTGGCAACTGGATTTGACTTTTATAAAAAACCCCACTAATCTGACTTTTTCTTTATTTAGAATTTAGCGGTCACAACGAACACATGTGTTGATAACAAGTTATCTATCTTGACTTGAGCAAGTCTCAATGTATTACGATCAAATTTTGTATCGATATGAGAAACTGAATTGCAATACATACATGCAAGCACAAATCTGTATCTTCCTCTTTTAATGTCTTTGTCGACAAGATTGATATACTCTGATGGTATCAATAAATTAAATTACTATAATCACAATATGGCTGAACTATTGCCGACGTGACTTTAAATTATAACTCACTCAGTTACTACTAAGAGGCATATAAACTAGTCAGGAGTGAGGGAAAATCTAAAGTCACATCGGCAGTATTTCAGCCATATCGTGACTAAAACAAGTTCTAGATATGTGGTAAATGCATATACATTATATAAAACATGTAGACAAAGGATAGTAAAAAGAACTAGAATATCGCAGAACAAGAATTTAATCTTGCATGTCGCATGTAACTTTAAAAGTGACTTTCTAAACAGAACAATACAATATAAAAACGGGCAGTAGATCGCCAGCAACTGAGTGAGTGAATGAGTTAATATTCATCGCCATATCAGCAATATTTCAGCCATATTGTGACAAGAACAATTTATTATTGTATTAGAGAAAAATATAAGTAGAAACTAAAAGACTGTTCACAAAGAACAGTAAAACTACCAGTGTATCACAGATAATAAAGTAAAACTAGCAAGTTATCAATATTTTCAAAGAGAACAATAAAATATAAAACCAGGCGATGGATTTCCAACAACTGAAGGTAGAGATCACCATACCATAGGGACTAACAATACGTTTACACCCGTAAAGACCGGGTTAGGAATTGGTCTTCAGTAATCCATGCTTTGTTGTAAGAGGCGACTAACGGAATCGGGTTGTCAGAAGAGATGACTTGGTTGGCACGTGTCATCGTATCCCAAGTGCGTAGATCATATCTCATGCTGTTGATCACTCCATTGTTTACAACCAACACTACTTTTGCTACCTACATTAACCCTAGCTTGATGCCGCATACGCTACGCTTCCAGTGTATGTAGATAAATAAGACGACAAATTATTGAAATACAAGTCAGCAGGAGGCGGATATCAAAGCAATCAAATCTACATATAATTTACAAAGTACTGGTGTCTAAAATATAAAACCATAGAGTGCTATTCTAAGCGATGGAGATAATTGCATGTGAATTGGGAGTGTTAGGTATACATATATATACACACTAAACGCCAAAGAAACGTTACCCTCCTACCTTTATGAATTACTGAAAACTATCAAAGATATGTTAGAAGGCATTAGTTTACAAGAAAGCTTAAAACACAGCTTTATGCAAATGACGAAAATAAATTCTCAAATCCATTCACATTTAGGTGAAATGCATAATTTTCAGAAGAGATACATTGTCTTATATTCGCCGCTGCCTAAATAAAACAATAACAGTGATTTTGATGTCCAAAGAAAGGTTGAAATAAAATTCTGCTTTGGGAGAATGATAAACCATTTAAAGTCACAATTTCTCAGCTATTAAAACAAGAAACAACTGTTGTGGAGTGTGCAAAATTGTAAAATAATCATTCCTATGATTTCAGTCTTTTAAAACATTTTCTGCTGATTTGTATTAGTGAAAACAAGTTAAACGTGTCTTTGATATTGTAAAAAGAATTGTTTTGGAACATCTTAAATTATCTTTGTTAACATTTTTGCTTGAAAGAAACATTTTTCCATTTCTGTTTACGCATAGCATTATCAATCGTCAAAACGCAGCAATATTCAAGCAGTATTTGAATCCATTTCACATGTAGAATGATTCTATAGGGTATGGAGAGGGCCTAGAATACGTGATACGATACACTAGTACGAGAAATATGCCACGATTAACAGCTGAAGGGAGAGAAAGAGCCATTGGGATGGTGCAGATGGGGTCGACATACAATGCTGTTGCCAACGCCCTCAGATGCAACCGTATCACAGTAATAAGATTTATTGAGGGCTTCAGACAGACTGGGGTCACCGTAAACAGACCAAGAAGTGGACGTCCACGCATCACAACGCCAGATGAAGAGAGGTACCTCCGTCATTTGTGGACAGAGGGTAACGTTCCTCTTGGCGTTTAGTGAATCCATCTTAAATATGTGGCTTCTATATGGTTTACATAATCCCTATCTTAGGGGTCATTGGTACCAGATGTAGCAATATTATGAAAGCGATAGTTCACGATGATTGATAAAATATATTTTTTGTCGGGTGTTTTATGCCTTTGAAGATTTTCCTTTCCCTACACTATTTTCATGTAGGGTAACACTGTTAAGTTCTTAAGATAAGCAATGGGCAAGATGTGAATAGATCTCCCGTGGGCCAAACGTCGACAGACGTTTTCTCAGGATTGACTGTTTTAGAATTCAGCATTCCCCTAATTTTAGCAGACTTTTTATAGTTCTGATGATTACACATGAATCATATTACTGAGATTGTTTTTCTGAAACAGGGTCCAGCGTAATACGTATGCGCTCTTTAACAGACAAACCGTACTGCAAACGTATAGCATTCAATTTTGTAATAGTACACACTGTTCATACAAAGACTGCTTTGTTGTAGAACTCGTCGGTAGCCGATACGCCTTTTCCCAAAGAAATGTCCTCATACAAATATGTGTATACACGTACAAAAACAGTATGATTTTATAAAGGAAACATAATACCTTTTGAAATGTTGTGACATTATCATATCACATTCTGTCATTCTGTAAATTGTTTGAATGATAAATGAATGCTAGACAATGATGTTAGTCGCCCTAAGACATTTGGGGGGTAGTTATGTGTAGAAACTTTCATGAAAGTAAAATAACTTATACAATTTTTAAATGTTTCATCGGATACATCATGTAATTAATATGCATGACGATTTGATCATGGAAAGGACTTGTACATGTGTACCTGCGAGTCTATTAACAAAACTTTGTCCACATGCATTAATCAGGAGAAAATCAGCACTGATATTGCAAAGAACTACTATATGGTAACAATGCTTTACAAATTAGCATAGAGTTCAGGCGATTCTAGTCGTCGTTGAGCAAACTCCACACACCGGCGCACATCCTCCTGAAAGTGATACAAACACGTCAAGACTATAACGCGGTACATAGAGCTTATTGCAATGTGTGTGACTGTGTCTGAAACTAGCACGGAGACATGTCTCGCAATTACAAACCTAATGTTTATCATGACAATGTTGGATCTGAATTGTCTTTACATTATTCAACTATCTTAAGTCTCTTGCACACGCTGGAGACCCGGGTTCGATTTCCCACATGGATACAATGTGTGAAGCCCATTTCTGGTGTCCCCGCGGTGCTATGGCTGGATTATTGCTAAAACCGGCGTCAAACCATACTCTCACCCACTCACTCACAACTGCATTCCACACACAAGTAAAAACTAGAAAATATATTATGAATGTTTCTTACCTGAGAGAATGGAGGTCCTCCGAGAGTGGAGTGTAGACGTCGCATGTTGCTGATGACGTCCACCCTGCTGTCGTCCTGCAGTCTGCTGGCGATGTTCACCAACAGGACCAAGAACCGTGCCTCGCTCACAGAGCTGCAGAGAGAAGAATTAGAACCAATCATGGGTGCAGTCAAAATGCTAGACGAAAGCATTGATGGTGGCATAACATGAACGAATTTTGATGTGTAAACCAAGACATTGACAGAACTTAAATGATGAACGAATGCAAATTATAATGTCTGAGTTAAAAGTTTGAGTGTATTATAACATGACCAATTTTCAACATATACATTATTATCAGATGAAACGACATGAGATACAGAAGGGTACTGAAATATGTGTAATAACCTCCACAATGCTAATGATATGACAGTAGTTTCGCAATCCCTTCAATATTATACGTTGATGTCTCTTCACAGAAAATACTGAGCAACAACATGCAACTACCAATAAAACTGTTCACTGGTATTGTGTCAGACTGTATAACGTTTTATATGGTTTTACGTAGTTCTGTGTTTGTGACATTATGCATGCAGAATTGCTTATGGTGAAGAAACGAACTGTGACGCTCAGATTTGCTCAAATACATGATATTGAGATTTGAAAGTTCTGACCTGATATATTTTATCTTTCAGATACATGGTAGATGATAGTAATAGTGATTTGTTGAACTTCAGAGACAAGTACATTTGTACACGTCAAACAGAAATAAATAAATAAAGTAGTGTTTTTTTTGTTTCAAAGAGGAATTGTTTGGTACAGAAATAGACTGATGTGGACCAAAATTCTTACTGTGAAATGATTGTGCAGGAACCTCGTTCAGGGTCACTCATCCATGTAAAGTAAGCTGTCAATCAACAGAGTGACACTTGAATCATCAATGTACTTCCGGTCACATGATAGTGTTGAATTGCTGAGGTGAGGTCAGCACCCTGAAACAGTTTTCCTTTATGCAAAAGCATAAATAAACTGAAACTTACTTTTAGCCATTTTCGTCGAGGGACAAATTATGACCCATATCTCTAGGAATTCGAGTCTTTCAGCCTGACAAGTAAAACACTTCTTTGAGAGATCTTTGGAAGTATATGAATAAACAAATTCTATATTACAGAGAGCTCGACGTAATCAAGCTAAATTACCTCCACCCGGGATAACTAGGTCCATTTGTGTGACTAGAGAGTGCTTCAACAACTAGGTTACCCCATCAATAGTAAGATGATGTGTTGGTAATATGGTTGATGCCGAAACGGTTCCGAACAAACTTTTCTCAGATAAAACCGAACTTTTAATCATATGCCGTGAAAGAGGAAATACGCTGGGATTCGCATGTTGCTGTTTTGTAGTGTTTGCTCAGGGAAGACATCAGAGGGGAACAAGTGTCATTCTTATGTTTTGAACATTAGAACACCAGTACTATATTGCGCCCACACTGTTTGACGTTGGATAATGGTTAAGACTGTCAAAAAACATCTTGCAGTCATTGCATCCCTCTTATCAATGAAAGGTGAGCGTGAATTTTAACATAACACAGAAGTCATCAGCCTTACATGTACTGTGAGATCAATAGAGTTCAGGATAACATCATTAGATATAATTTTTAGACGTTTGCAAGCTTGCTGTCAGCCTTGACGTGGAGACAGGACTGTCCATCGACGGGAGGAAGATCTGCAAACCAAACAGTGTTGACTTAAGTGACTTTTCCTTTTCAGGATCGTTAATATTTGAGGGTACATTTTGGATCGTAGAATTAATAACCACTGATAGTCGACTTTTAAGAAAAGAAATCATCAGAAATAAGATAGTGTTTATTTCAAAACCACATATTATCTTTATCAACATAGCAATTGCTTTCCGAAATATTTTTATAACAATTCCTACTTGGGTTTCTGTAGCCAACGTGATCAAGGCCCGCGAATCGCTGTTATACATCTGATTCCATAGGTCCTCTTTGTCTGGTTGTGACGTTGTTATGAAGAAGCCGTTCCTTGATGTGTAGGACTGCAGTGAAATGCAATCTATTACAGATGCATTTATGTTAACTGTGTATATCATCCTGATCCACATAAATACTGTGACCAGGCATTTATCAACGAAGATGAGGGATAGCTACGGTAAACACAATATGTTACGTCAAAAATAACGGTTAAACGTTTAACTCTTTTAGTGAGAAGATTAGTAATGTTAAGATGTTCGACCTGATAAGCATATCAACAACCCAAACTTTAATCTGCCATATTAAGAGCGCCTTTGCAGAAAGTATTACACTTTATATTATGTGATAAGCATATCAATAAGTTAACCTTTATTCCAGTCATATTGAAGTACATTGTAGAAAGTATCAAACTTACTGCCACCGTGATGATATGATCTTCAAGAAGACCTCCTGAAACTGAACAGTAAGTTTAGTACAGTTTAACTGCAACTGTGCCTTTCTATTGGAGTGAATGTTTGTGCAGTGTAAGAATGTAGAAAACATGAACAGGGCTCCTGCTCGATATGTATTCAATTGCATTCCACTAAAAGTCATACTAGGTTACTGATTGAAGGCGAAAATAAAACTTCCATGTTCAACAGACATCCCGACTAAAAGTATACACGAGGATTGTTTTAAATCGCTATCATCCTTCCCAACGGAAGCACACAAAACAAACACGTGGAATAGCAGGTGGATTGTTAACCTGGAAAAACATTGGAACTCCTGACACAAGTGAAGATGGGAGTTGTACAGACATAATTTTGCTGCTTATGCTTCAGGTTACTCCAAGTTTCCACGGGGCGGTGGGGTTGCCTAATGGTTAAAGCGTTGGCTCGTCACGCCGAAGACCCGGGTTCGAATCCCACATGGGTACAATTTGTGAAGCCCAGTTCTGGTGTCCCCAGCCGTGATGTTGTTGGAATATTGCTAAAAGCGTAAAGCCAAACTCAGTCAGTCAGTCCAAGTGTCCACCATTAATAGTTTGATGGCTTCCTGAGGCCTTGATTGTTGTTACTTTGACCAAACAACTTTGAACAACACCTGAATGACGCAGGTAAAATGTGCTGGAATATAACTCGACACAAAGGGAAAGGGAGGGAGCTTTTGTCACTCTGAATCCTTATGCTTATATCTGACTTGTAAACAGAAGAGTCGACGTTGCATCTGTTTTCTCTGGATTGGGTGACTAAACAGATGACATGTAATTACACTGGCTGCCTGTAGTATACATACCTTAATTGGTTCATTGACATAACTTAAATTATTTGACCAAATACATTATTTTTTTTTACGTAGTCGTGTTCCCAGATGGGATAACACATGTGAAAAACTGTCCTCCCTGGTCATAATGCCACTCTGGATATAATGTCATGTTTTCTCCTGCAGAAACGGTGACATTATAACCAGGGTATACTAATACGCATGATTCTGACTATCATATACGTGTTCGCGAACGGGTGAGTCTATCCAGCCCTCTGGGAATCACACATCAAATGGAAAAGCAGTATAAATATTCATCTGCACCTTACCTAAGTGAAAACTGGAGTTGCACCCGACATATGTTTATCACTTATCCGTCTGATTTCCCTATAAATAGTTTTAAAAGCTTTCCTGAGGCCTTCGTAGTTGTAACCTTAACCACACAACTTTGAACAACACATGAATGACACAGTTAAAATCTCCGGAGATCAGAGGTTGTGAAATGTAGAAAGGCAAGAACTGCTGGAATATTCCTCGACACAAAGGGAAAGTTGACCTACAATTTCTGCAGGGATGTTATGTCACTCTGAATCTTTATACTTATATCTAAATTGGAAACAAATGAGTCGGCGTTGCATGTGTTTTTTTCTGGATTATGTGACTAAACAGCTGGCATGTAAACACTGTCCAATAATCTCAAGTCTGCCGGTGAGGTGATACTAAACCAGGGAAACGAGCATTACACTTACGTTCGGGTGTATTTTCCAAAGCCTGAAATTGAAGCAAATAACACATTCATACACTATGAAAACATGTTTTATACCTTCTTATACCAACATACTTCTGGTGGTTGTTTCATCATGGTTACAACTGGAATGCTGTTAGTGTTAGAATACATAATTCTTTCATATGTCTTAATAGTTTTATGGACATTCATACCGTTAGGTTTACTTACCTCCAGGTGTTCCTGCACGTTCCTTTTTGCCCATGGTAACGGAAGACAGATGACTGGGATCTATCTGTCTGATGGCGTCACCATCCAGTGAGGTGTCCCCCTCTGCCACCGCCATAGCTACGGCCTGATACAGGAACAGGTACTGCTCCTGGTGTTAGACAATGAGAACGTAATATCAGGAGGCCAGAACAGATAACATGTGAACTAAATAGTCATTTAGTTAAAATTTAACGTCACCTCAGCAGTATTTCAGCCATATAGTGACGAGAAATGCATGACATATACAATAAATATACGCTTTTAAATTATCAGCCAGCAAAGGACTTTAATATGAACTACATAGGGTGTTGGTGGTTTACTCACTTTGGTCTGTATCATGTTTTTCCTTTGGCCTCTCATGTTGGAGACGAAGCTGACGACGTCCACACAGCCTTCTGCCGCTGCCTGATCCACGAGACTCTCTATAGCAATGTACGTCCCTGTCCGACCTATACCCGCACTAAAGAAGAAGAAAAACCAGTATAAACAACATGCTATTCCTCATTTGCACTAATTCCTCCTTAAAATTCGTTATGTTCCATCTGTGTCTACATAAGGAATTATATATCAAATGTATTTCTCTATATATCAAAAGAAACTGCAAATCTATAAAGGGAAAGTTAAAGATACATTGAATTAACGTGGAATTAATTACTCGGTGTCATCTTATTAGTATCAGCATATTATCGTTTCCTTCCGAGTCGACCTGTGCCCTCATTGCCATCCCAGTAAAACTCTAACCTGCAGTGGACTATGATAGGTTGTGTCTTATGTCTCGTGGTGACCTTGACCCTCCACATAAACTCAAGCAAGGCGAAAGTGTCTGGTACACCATGGTCAGGCCAACTTGTGAAGTGAAAGTGGTGAACGTGATGTATCTTTCCTTCCTGGTATTTAGAATTAATCGCATTTTATTTATGTTGAATAATACTTTTGTCACAAACTTCAATATATTTATATTTCTTTCAGAAAAGAACATTTATCAAGAAGAATTGTAATTACTGACAAAATACAATACCGATTTATTGTGAACAGACAGTTTTGTGACTGTAGTTTGCAAGTTGAGTTTCTGTCTCCTTGGTAACTGAAATGTCGCCGTAAATGGATGTTCCGTTCTCTGGCCAGTACTGAAGACACTTCATCTGTAAATATTACGAGATGTAATAGATAATACATATTATAAAGATATCAACACGAAACACTATAACGGTTTTCTTTTTGTGTGTGAGATTTCTATTTCTGGTATCATTTACGGATACGTATGGTTTGAGTCTCTCGTGTCAACCTTTCTTCTTTTCACAATACAATCCAGCTGCTGCTTAACATTCAATACCTTTGGGAAGGAAACGTATCCAATGTGTGAAAGATGTTGTGGAGATGCTATATACATGTATATTACCTTCCCCGCCTCTACAAGTCCCCGTCACCATGACAATTGTTGTAGATTGCTCCTGATAGATCATTCTCCAGAAATCCACCACTACTTCCGGTCGGTAGGGACCTTATAAGAACATAAATATGACATGAAACGTCTATAGATCATCCAAAGGTATTCAGAAAAAAATGTTAACGCTAAAATAGAATCCTACTTTAATGGCAGTGGTCACACAAAAAGTCACCACCTTAATCAGATGATCGTTCTTCTTGGTTTTCATTGCTCAAACACAAGTCTGTTCTTTGTGTTTGTGCTCCTGTTTCCAGTGTACTGCAATGACAAGATCATGCGTACCAGGAAGCACACTAATTGGTCACTTAAAGACAAAAGGCGTAACTTCAAAGTGCGTTCAAGTCCACACAAATTACTGTTGTAATATTAAAGATAGCCTAAATACGGAGAATTCCCGAGGTGGAAATACACCTGCAACTCAACATTACGTCATTACTAATAAATGAATGCATTTCGAATGGTCTTTGTTCCTTGTTTATGTATGATATCTACGTTCCTTAGATCACATTTTAGTAACTGTTTGTGTGTGCGAAACCTTACCTTGTGCTGGTATATAACGCTTTTCTGCTTTATATCCCTGAAAAGAATTTACGAACATATGTATTATTTACATAACTATAAAACGTCACTGCCAAAAAGCTGTGCATAACCATACTGTTTGCCAATTTAAGCAATACCACCAGGCAACTGATTTATGCAGTTATTCATTGTCTATTAATTGCTGTTTAATATATTACTGATGTATTGAAAAGGCAAGTCTGTACCAGGTAATGCAGTGATACCTTTCATGATCAAAGAGCAGCACGAAATTGGGAGACGATGACATGCAGTCAACAAAGTCTAAAGCCGGACCAGTCGATTAATTCAGTCGCCGCTTACGACAGGCACGTATTACAGGGAGTGTATGTCCTTACTCGAAATATCCAGTATATCAAAGCCTTACACAGACTGACTTAACTACATGGCTTAGGTCAAAGAGTACAAGTTGTCTTACAAGGACATGCACAGTGTTGCTATAAGAGTGAAACGCCCATTGTGCAGTAATGCTCATGTGTTTGTCTGACAATCGTTGCTCAACTCACATCGAGGTAGCTGGCGTTGATGTAGTCTTTGTCTTTGTCTTCACTGACGCCGTGCAACACCACGCGGTTGTAATCATCTGTGAAAAAGATGCAGTAACGAGTACATGGTCGATTAGGACGTGACATCAGATGATGAAATGTAACTGGATAAAAACCTGGCTGGTCTCAGGTCAAAGCTGAGTTAACGTGACGAATACCATCTGCAAGATGTGCTCACATGGGTAATAGCCTCTGAACCTGTTCTTTCCTTTGTTTTTAGGTTGTTGAGATTCAGCATAGGAGTGAACATAACCATCAGGAAGTCTCTGAAAAGGAAAACATGTGACATACACTGGATATATAACAAAGAATTGTATTATTCTAAACTGATTATTGTCACAGCCAATGCATGTAATCTTATATATCCAAACTGAAACATGTAAGCTTGACGCAAATGGTGGTCTGTGTAATTACAACTGTTATGGTAGGGTTGGTTTGCTCAAGCATGGAGAAAAGAGGGATACGGTATTTGTGTCAGATATAGTGACTGTCTTTCTTGCAGACAAAATTCACCCTTGGGAAAAACGCCGATGTGAATATAAACCGTAACTCACCCATTCACACACACACTAACTCACTGGCTCTCGGACCGGTGCACGCCACTTTGAGTTTACCTTAAATTCTTCTTCTGCACTGGCTGGAGTCATTTCTTCCACCTTTGTCTGTAATTCTGACACAGGAATCACGTGAGTCCGTCCATTGTCGTCCAGGTTGTAGTAGTTTCTGTCAGGGACCTCTGGTGTGTCCTTAACATCTTCAGGCTGGTCAGACACGTCATAGTCCTCTTCTTCCTCCACTTTCTGGAGGTCAAGGTCACCTGTTCCGCCTTTACCCGTATCCTTGGTTCCAGTCGTAGAAGCAGCTGCCTTATCTGAATCGCCTTGATATTTATTCTGCTTACTAACCTGTATTTGTGTAGTTGATGTGTTCTCGTTGTTATCAAATCCGACATTCATGTACATACCGATGTCTTCCGCTAAAGGAAACAAAAAGAACACATAAATAATTCATAAATAAATAATAACTGAGATGCCGACATAATATGATATTAGTTTTTATCATGGATGGAAGTAGGTGTGGTATGTACAGAAGATACTGGACCTCTAAAGAAGCAGATCCATTTCACTGAAGAGGCCCACCATGCATCATTTTTGTTATTGAGTATACGTATGCTACATCGTTTACGTATGCTGCAACCTCTGTATATTACATCAGACAAATATAATTTCACACAAAGGGGAGCAAACCAGAGCCCCGAATCTACGTACTTTTGATCATGATGACAGCAAGGACCAGCAGCAGTATCACCACCACGCCGACTACAGCTCCCACTACAGCAGTGATTGGAAAAGAGGCGGCTTTAGGCTGCTGACTTGTATGTGTGGCAACTCTCTCTGGATGTAGAATGGCAAAAGATTACAGTCAATGTTAGCATAGATGTGCACACGTCTCTCATCACATAAAACGTGCTTACTGAAATAATCTTTGTCATTTTAGAAGCCCCTGTATCAAAAGCAAATCCATGATGTCACAACAGCATTAAATCTGTCATAAATTGAACGAACATTTCCTTCTCCGTCAGATTACCGTTGTTAGAATTAACATGTGTATGCACAAGTCACTTGGATATTCTTCTTCACAACCGCTGTAGAAACATGAATTCTTTTTTTATGCGTGATGTTATCCCCACACGCTCTACCCTGGCTTTGACAGTCAAACCTTTACTCAGATACATGATGATACCATGTTTGGGCAGAAATGACACGTGTAGATTGTTCCATTTCATTTAAATGATTATTTATTTCCATAAATAGGTCTGCGTGTACGATTTTGTATAAGAAATTGGAAGTGTTCTACATTGCCGTGCACTGACCATTGAAATAACTATTTAAACCTGTGTTAGTTTTCTAAACTAAGCAGAAACTCTCATTATCAATTTCTGGATACAGAAACCTAGCGGAAACCTACATTACCCAGTATCCATTAGGTTTCCGCAAGAACCGAAACTAAGCTATTTTTGCTTTCATATCAATTCTTTATCGTCGCATTCATGAGTTTATCATAAGGCGACACATACACATATGAGTACATTTAATTTGCATTCCTGATGCCATCATTCATTAGACGTGGTATTTATCTGTGATATTCTGCAGTCATTCACTGGTTTTGTAAGGACGAGCACTGCACAATATAGGAACGAATGTTAAAGTGCTGGGGCTTCTCTCACGAAGCAGCCTACTAGGTTACTAAGGTTAACCTTAACTCCCATTTTTCAACATTGCACTAAAGTTACTAGGGTAACTTTAGTGCTTTGTGAAAGGAGGCCCAGATCATCTAAACCGAGACACAATAATCTTAATCATATACCCATGTGCCCAAAGTCTTAGACTGAGTAATGGTGGATAGACAGTATATTGGATCTACTTTTCCTACCCTCGTCATTCAGTCAGGCCAAAAACGTAAAAAATCAATCAAAATCAAGTGTGTGATTCTTCCTTCCTCAACAAATTAATTACCATTAGGTTATTTAGACATTTAAAATACATAGGAGTATTTCTTTTTTGGCATTGGCATGTTTGGTCATTACTCTTTCTAAAATAGGTTTACACCACATCCACTTTCTTTTGAGCCTGAATAAGTTTGTGTCTATCATAGGTGTTTCTTCAATGTTTCATGTTTTGTGGCTTCAACCAGGTATACCAGTACTTATCATCACCCACCCTAGTGACCCTCATTGGTGACATTACCTGTACAGTCGACCCGTGTCCACCCTGTCAGACATCCACTGTCACAGGTCCCTGTTGAGTTACAGGAAGAGTTTCCCTCACAGTGCCTGGATAGGCATACGCCACGACAGTTAGGTCCATAATGTTTGGAATCACATTCTGGAATAGGATGGCAAGAGTTTCCATGTATTTTATATTCACACAAGGTGTACTGTACATGTTCTCAAGAAATTGGAACGTGTCTTTGGATAAAGTATATTTCATAATCACTCCGTGTTAAGTCCCATTCATTACAGTCAACACCCATCCATCCAGCCTTGCATCCAGAATCACATGACCCAGTCACATGATGAATTTCCTGCACAGTGTCTCTCAGAGCAAATACAAATGCGGTTTGCGCCGTACTTTCCACTGGAACATTCTGAAACAATAAACTTGGGAGTTTATAAGGCGTTTCAAAGATATATGTGCGCTAGTCTTGGTGACACTGTGTGACAATCTTCCTTTCAGAATAACTGATGTATTTGGTTCCTTCAATGATCGATTAGACTTTCTCCTCTACCTCAAAACCAATCAAATGTGAACATTCTTTACCTTGTGCGCAATCAACCCCTTTCCAACCAGGAAGACATCCCGTGTCACATCCCCCAGTGCTACGGTCACATGACGAATTTGTAGCCGAACATTTCCGCCCAGCACATGTTTTGTTGCAGTTAGTGCCATAAGTAGTGTTGCTGCAAACTGTAAAATATGGACAAGAAGTAAAATATTCATTCATAAATAAAGTTGAAAGGCTTTTTATCTGTGAAACATTCTTGGTAATCGGTTCAGCAAAGTGAATGAGTGAGTGAGTGAGTGAGTTAAAATTTAACGTCACATCAGCAATATTTCAACCTTATCGTGACGAAAACTATTTATACAATAAAAAGTGAAATGAGAACATTTGACATTGAAATGGAATGAAAGAGAGTATAAACCTGCCGACAAAGGACAGTAGAGCAACTAGAATATCACAGATATATATGTAAAACTAGTAATTGAATCTAAAACAGTTTAACTATAGGGGACAACACAATATAAAAATGGGCTATAAATTGCCAATAACTGAAGGTAGATCACCATACCACGGACCATGGGGACTTACATTATTTTTGCTACCTGCATGGACCCTAGTTGGATTTACACCATCCCTTCAGCCATTGGCGACAGAAGAGCAATCTAGCCATAAAATAAAAGAACACATTTTCTACGATTAAAAACGTGGTAAGCCTAAATTTACTCTAAATATGTTGGGACTTACGTACCCCCTCAGGAGGGCAATAATTTTATACTACTTCAACCCCCTTTGAGGGTACATCCACTAACAATCTCAGTTACTAATTTAAACTACCAATAATAAAATATGTATCTATTTACAAATCAGATAGCAAGTCTAATTTTTTTTAAAAGGCAATAATTAAATGAGAACTCATATAACTAAAAAGATCCTTCATAGTTTTTACTTTGAAATAGATATCCCTTGTGAGTAAAGTGAATGAAATGGGTCAGTAGATAATGTTGGTGCACAACGTTACATGCACCTGAAAACGTACCTACAGTAAGACCTCCACAACCACGGCCTTTTGTTAAATTTTCATTAATCATGTGATTTCATTCTTATCAGTGATTTAATGGGGGCTTTCATATGCATTAGGTAAAGTGTTCATAAGAAAGTGGAAATTACTTTAGAAAATGTTTATTTCACACTCACTTACCAATAGGTATTTTCCACTACTCACCTTCTTTACAATCAGCACCCATCCATCCAGCTTTACATCCAGAATCACATGACCCAGTCACATGATCACATGATGAATTTCCCGGACAGTTTCTCTCAGAGCAAAGACTAGTACAGTTTGCGCCGTAATTTCCCCTGGAACATCCTGTAATAAAGACATCATGAGCTTACAATGTACTTGACAGTTATATCTACATACACTGATGTTCTTCGGTTAACGTTGTGCTGCAGGCTTCCTTTTTAAATAACATCCACGGTATAACTGAGCCGCCTTCTTTCTCTGCCTGCCATGTAACTGTGTATTCAATTTGGCTAGTTGCACGTTACCTTGTGTGCAGTCAACCTCTATCCAACCAGGAAGACAATCTGTGTCACATGCTCCAGTGTGACGGTCGCATGACGAGTTTGGAGATGAACACTTCCGCCCAGCACATGTTTTGTTGCAGTTAGTACCATAGCAAGCTGTAAAACATAGACAAGCAGGAGATTTAGCATTCATTAAAATAAGTAGGTATTTGTTTCACCAAGTTGGGTCATCAAAGCGAATGAAACGAGTCAGTAGGTACGAGTTGATGCACCACTAGCATGGAGCCGACAGTAAGACCTCCAGAACGACCGCCTCTTGTTATTCCTTTGCATTAACAATGACGAACCTATGATGACAGTCAACAAGCCATGTAAACGCATCTACAGCCACAAGTACCATTGACTGGGACACACAATACTTGCAGTCAAATGTTCTCACCTGTATCACATCTCTCTCCCTGCCACCCTGGTGTACAGTTTCCAGGACACAATCCAGTCAAGCGATCACAGGTTGAATCCAGGCAGTGACAGAACACATTGCAGTTCACTCCATAGATACCCGGGCTGCAAGCTGGTGCATTATTAACACAAGATAAGTACATAAAGACAAGTGCATATATCAAGGGTAACTTGTAGGCATAAATGAAATGAAAATTGTGGAAATATTGAATTGATGAATTGCCGACATTAGGCAATTTACATGATTTGATCAGTGATTGCTTTGTACTTCTATGGATTGAAAGTTGATAGTAATGGACAGTATGCAACGAAGTACATGTACACATCGATTTCGACCATTTGTCAAGTATTTTGTGTTATGTGTAGACATTCTTCATAGCCACAGCACGAAGGGAATCTGAAAATACTATTATTTTCATAAAATAACTGACGCTCTGATGCTCAAGATACCATGTTTAGCCTTACAAATATACTAGGCAGATAAAGAAACTGTGCATACAAAAATTTTAAATCTAAATTTATCAAACCTGTGTAGACACATAAACTCAGAGATTAGTGACATGTATCCAACATGCATGCACGTGCCACGTTCCGTGACGTCATTGGGTTCGTCCTTGAGACGTGCAATACGGGAAAGAGAAACAGAGTAAATGAATGCCACACAATACTGTCACTTTGGAAAGCTCAACCCCTGCCCTTGCGACCGTTAAAAACATTAAACGGCTATTGAAACGCATAGCATGCCAAGGCTCACGTCTGCACAACGTCATGAGGCCATTGGGATGGTCCGTGGGGTAATGTCTCAACGACAAGTGGCTGCACATTTCCACTGCCACCGGAACACCATTTCTGTACTGGTGAGACGCTACCAGAACACAAATGATGTCTTCGATCGGTCACGTTCTGGACGTCCACGTGTAACAACGCCAATACAGGACAGATGGATAAGGGTGACCCATCTTCGCCACAGGTTTCAGACTACAGTAATGACTGCCCGAACCATCCCAGGACTTCGCCGTATCCACCCCAACACAGTTCGACAACGTTTACGTCATCACGGGATCAGACCACGACGATCCGCCATACGGCCTCTCCTGACACAACGTCATCGACAAGCTCACCGAATGTGGTGCCGAAATCATGTCCGCAGACCCTTGTTTTGGTGGAGAAATGTTGTTTTCACAGATGAGTCCAGGTTTAACATTTCCCATAGTTATGGACGTCAACGTGCCTATAGACGCGTGGGAGAACGTTATACACAGGCCTGTGTCTTGGAGAGGAATCGCTTTGGTGGTCGTTCCGTGATGATTTGGGGTGGAATAACAGCACGCCAAAAAACTCCTTTGGTGATTGTTCAGGGCAACTTAACTGGTGTGGGCTACAGAGATCAGATTCTTCGACCTGTGGCAATTCCTTTTCTGCAACGTCATGGCCCTGGGTTAACATTCCAACAGGACAATGTCCGACCTCATACGGCAAGGGTTGCTATGGATTTCTTGCAAAACCACAATGTTGACTTACTGCCTTGGCCTGCAAATTCACCGGATCTCTCCCCGATAGAGAATGTTGGGGACGAGATGGATCGACGTCTACGCCGTCTTCTTTATCCGACAGATCCGCCAGATTGACCTTGCAACAGAACTTGAGAGCATCTGGCGTGACATCCCACAAGCCTTCCTTGCACGTTTGATAGGCTCTATGCATCGTCGATGCACTGCTGTTCTCAATGCCGATGGTGGACATACCCGTTGTTGAGCTTGTGACATGGTCGTTTGACCCCTCTCCGGCTTGTGGACTCGTGACGTCATTGTGATTGACCTTTCAGTTGAAATTCTCCCGACTTGTTATGGTCTCATGGTCCCTCCATTAAAGTTTATATGTACCTTTGACATTGTTATCGTACTTATCAACCGGGATAATATTTTGACAATGCACAGTTTCTTTATGTGGCTAGTATAGTCTAAATATGTTAGTGAATAGGTCTCGCTAAGTGGTCAAGTGCATCATTCTACAGAGCTTTGTTACCATCGAAGCACCAGAACCAGAGTGTGAGTTCCATGACAAATTAACCACTGTCAATGTGGCACCCAAATAGATAATCCTATATAAAACATTATGGGGAGAATATAGTCGTGTCTCACTGTTTGGTAATGCAAATTTTGACAACAAGGCGATTTAGTAAAAGAATATTTCAAGGTGTATAAACGTCAGCTCAAGAGAATATTAACCAGTCTCGATTATAAGACGAAACAGACTCCCAAACATCAGTGATGACATCAGATATTAGCGAAAAAGGTAATCATATCCTCCCCTAGAGACAGCATCCATCACTCGAGATTTATATTTTGTGAAGGATGTGGGATATATTTGAAAATAAACTTGCATACTTGTTCATGATTAACATCTGATGTTTATTTCATATGGTATAGACCTGATATAGACTTTTTAATGACAGGACGTTTTAAAAGATCCTTATACAGAATACTAGTCTTCCCTCGCCAGATACCAGAAGCATTAACTCGTTCCATAAAATTAGTACTGCATTTTGGCAACTATCTATTGCATTTCGTTGGTTAGTTCTTTATGCATTGTTGTATAGAAACGGTCGCGCTTCAAAATCTCAGCTAACATAAAAACCCGTACAAGGAGATATGTATTGCTGGTTCAAGCAAATGTACCAACAAATCCCTGTCTCAAAGATTAACCATAATACTTAATACTATCAAGGAAGGACTTGCTCGATATTCACAGAAAGTTTTTGAGACAAGCGGAAGTAATACAATGTGGATTCTCCAAAACTCAAAGGATTTGCTTACATTTATACAAACTCAGAAGCGGACCGAGTTCCGGTCTGTCAAAATATTGGATTTGCATACTACTGCCCCACAAGGCAAACTTTAGGAAAAACTCCATTCCTTGATCCATTGAGTACTTGCAAACAAATGTGGTGGCTCAGGACAATTTGCAATTACCATCTGAAGTTAAATATTTTGCCAATTAGTAGGACCCCATGGGCACTAATTGCGGATCTGTTTCTTTCTGCATATGAATCAGAATTTCTGCTTGGGTGGGTCAAACGAAACAAGGTAAGTTGAGCTTCTGGTACATCGATGATCTAAGATCGTTCAATAACCATCAAAGAGTCAACTGCTTATTTCGTATGACAAAAGGGATGATTTCAACTTTCCAAAAGTCAACTTGCCTTTCATGTTATAATCACAACTGTAGAATGGACTCTTCTTTCAGCAGAGAGTTTTTATGGATGTAGAAAGGGTTTTGTCGCGTCTATTATACAGAAATGAGTACACCCAGTCAACACTGTCACACTTTCACAATGCATTTGATAATGCTTCTCAAGTGCTGTGACAAAATTCTGGCACACACCTTACAAAGACTCGGGAAGGACAATGAAACACACGACTGGACAAATACTTGGAAATACAATGAATGAATGTTTACCATAGATCTCCCCCTCACAAATGTTCAGTGCACTAGCACACCCATCATGTCCTCCTGTCCCCTGGCTTTTGATGGTGATATACCTACCGGGGCCGTTACATGTTAGTTTTATAACTCTAGCTATGTTAACCTATTTGCTTTACTCTCATTTGTCGACAGGTTTTAAGGAATAAATTTATTATTATTATTGCATATCTTGCTTTAGTCACGGTATGGCTGAAATATTGCCGATGTTACTCTAAATCTCAACTCACTCAATCACTCACTCACTCTATATAAACGTTGACTGATATCGAGTCGAGTGCGCATGAGTTAATCTCGAGGATTTATTATATCCAAACTAAATCATACTGAATAAACCCGAAGATGTGGAGAGTTTTCAATATTTGTTTTGAATCTAGTTTCAGCTGTTTAAAGCGTCCAGTTATTAAACATGTTGTAGTACCAGCTTATTGTATTAATAGAGCGGGTTTCTTCAGCGAGAAAGTCACAATATAAATGATGAAGCATGCATGTATTTTGAATGGAACAAATAGAAACAATCATTTCAAATACCCAGTTATATGAATGAAAATAACCTTTCAACGCTGCCACACACCCAAGATATGGGATGTATTCTGGAACGGAACTTACAACGACTTTGCTGTTGAAGGGCAGTAGAGCACTCTTGTATCACCAAGACACGGATTGACGATTACCTGTAAATACAATAAATGGCTTACCATAAATCTCCACCTCACAGATGTTCAGTGCATCATCGTGTCCAGGCCCTGCCACCGGGTTCCAGATGGTGACGTATCTGCCGGTACCGTTACACGTCACGTCAGTTGGGTTGGTGGATGAAGTCGGGAGGGTGGAGCAGATGGCGGAGGCGTCGTTGTTCAGATAGATGTTGGAGTTGACATTTCTCCCGTAGTCTTCAGTAAAACAAATACTGTTTCAGATTACGCTACACTATTACACTGTGTTTATATAGTTTCTGTTAACATATTTATCAGATCACAAAACTATGTTCATGCGATGGACTAATGCATGAGAGGAGAGACTGAGAGGAGACACACCCGATCCAACAATATGTGCTGTCCAGCAGATGCTGTTTAGAATGATTACACCAAAACTCGTTTGTTTGCAAATCGTAACGGCACGAAGTTCAAAAATCATCTGAATGTACATGTGCACATGATCACTCTCAATATTTCATTCCTTCACTGATCAAGACATATGTAATTATAGTCAAGGGTACAAATTCTTAAGTTGTTAATACGTTCTTCTAACAATAAGACCCACTACTGCTGTTATTGAACTTCCCTTACACCAGACCGCCTCCGTGGTGTAGTGATTTGGGCGTCCGCCCGGAGGGCGGAAGGTCGCGGCTTCGATCCCCGGCCGCGTCTTACTACGAGACGTCAAAATATGGTACAATATGCCTGGTGCTCAGCATTAATGGGTACAACAAGAACTGGTCATGTCGGAGTAGGTATAATATGTCTGAGCGGGGTATTCATGGTTAACTTTGGCATGGTATATCAGTGAGCCTGCACTATAAACGAGCTTACGTCTGGGCTAGTAGACAAGCAGACACACATACACACGCACCTCACCTCACCCATTACAACAGCGGAATGGCCCTGTTTACTTTCAATGTGTAAATAGCTTATAAAACAGAATTGAAATAATAGGCTTGCTAGAAATAAGAACAGGTATCACACGTTGAGATATATCAGGTCATGGGGCGTTACTGTAATTGCTATAGTTTGATCATCGGCATATAATGAAAATGTCTCCTCAGATAGAGCAATACCAGTCTATTGCACCTATCTGTGTTTCCGTCTCTCTTTGTCCGTCACATATTTGTTGTTTAGAACCTTGAGGTGGATTTAATTCTAAGCCGATTCACTGATGTAGAGTGTTTAAATAGGTTGATAAATATGTTGTCAGCAGAACATGTGTTAAAGAATTACGTAATTGCTTATATGGTGTTGGTTTGTGTTAATTGTTACTTTTTCATGTTTGAAGTATTATAATGAAAACATAGACTTCAGCAGAGTATCTAAGGTGAGTCTAAGGTGATACATAACAATATAAATAGCATCGTTCTCTCTTGGATCACGATGTCTGGATACCTACATCCACGCCTGCTGTAGATCCTGATGTCGTACAGCTGGAAGTCCCGGCCCAGATCCACTGTCCAGTCTGACGGAGATCCAGCAGCGTGGAAACAGGTTCTACCCTCACCACCAGTGTCACTGTCTCCATCCACAGCATTTGATGGGGCCCAGCCTCCGAACAATCCAGATGTTGTTGATGCTGTCTTGTTCAGTGCAATATTTTCTGTGAAGTACAATCATCATGTAACGTTACTGCCCCCTATCTATAGCCTTACGGGTAACAGTCTCCGTACATTTCAGATGTTGTTGATGCCTCCTTATTCTGTGCAATGTAGGACAATAATCACATCCCCACAAAATTCCATACATATCCCAGTATGTGTTAATGGTGAAAGGTATAACATGGGTTTACATGCATGGTGATAGTCTGATTCTAGTTAACAGTATAATGTCAATCACAATCCTGCAACCTATCTGTTGTATTACAAATGTTATATATTGTGTGAGTTAAGGGATCATCATGTAATGATTTGTATCAAAAAGCTGTTTTCACACCGACCAAAGCAGAATATTAAACACATCCAAAATCAGCATTAAATATATTAATGGCGCTCACGTTTCTGGCAAAGACCTCCCTCCTTTCTCCATCCCCGATTACAAGAATCAGAACAGGCACCTGTAGTCTCGTCACACGATGTCCCGCAGTGACAGGAGTAGCTACAGGAGTGTCCAAACCATCCTGGTTCACAGGAACCTGTGGGGAGAAACGGAGAGGTAAGATTCAACACTGAAAGGAGTAGTTAAAGTCTGCAAACTGACCCAGTGGGATATACGGCAATAGACGTCACATCTGACTGTTTTGATATCTGCATGACCGATTATTCCAAATAAGAAATAGTTACGCTGAAACTCTTAATCTAATTATCACAGGGAGGTAGTACTGTTCCTGATTGTTCCAGCATTCCGTGTCACCTACATATATAGATTGTCGTCCCAGTTGTGCACACCTGTAAGACACATATCCACTATGCTATCATGCCTCAATGTCAGACACAGATATCGTTTCTTCCGGTTCCACTGATCCCATCTGATCCCACTGATCCTCCACTGATCAAATGATGATCGAGACAGATCCATATCGAAGATAAGGCTGGGTTGGAATCCTTAAGTCGCTCTCCTTACCTATCCTACACTCGGACACAACGATACCTTAAGTCGAGGCAAGTATTACGTTTCATTATGTAGTTGAGTATTTTAGGCTTTTAAGGTTGCATGTTTTGTATATCATCCTAAGCATTTTATCATCTAACTATCAGATATAGCGAGTCCATGCCAATACCCTCAAAGTTGAACAACAAGGAAGGGAAATAACGTCAAAGTAAACATTACGACCACATAACATGTACTAACCCCGCACCATGAATGTGCCTCCTTAATGTGTTCAACTTTTGATAATATATCGAGGAGCTTCAGTGGGATCTGGATGGGAAAGGAGAGCCAAACTCGCAGCATCCTTTGTATAAGTGAACTTTATCAGTGACTCAAACGATGCAAACTGTTTGTACACGTGACATGGTTTCACAACTTTTGGTTCATCAAAATGGTAGTTAGAGTAATGTTTTCCTCAAAAACAATTATTCATATCGGGGCGATGGGGTAGCATAGTGGTTAAAACGTTTGCTCGTCACGCTGAAGGCCCGGGTTCGATTCCCCATATGGGTACAATGTGTGAAGCCCATGTCTTGTGTCCCCCGCCGTGATATTGCTGGAATATTGCTAAAAGCAGCGTAAAACCATTCTCACTCACTCAATTATACATATTATGCTTAGTTCTAGATATTACGGTAATGCTCTATTGCAATTTGTCTGACATAACGGAAATATTGCACTAAATAGTCAGTGTTATTATCTATCCTCCATGCACAGCACTCCCTCGAGCGGGGCAGTAAGGTTTGCAAATGGACACCAATTGGATAACATGTGTGGACAGCAGCACTGCGGGTGAATGGGCAGTAGGGCTTTGATGACGGGATAGGAAACATGTTTCATACATGTTCAGATGTATTGGTGAGTGGCATCTGTGTTATAGATGATGAAATTGTGCGATTTGAATGAACGGCCCCGGTGCAGGGATGATGTTACGTTGGGTATGGAAATGATATGAGCCTGGGTTAGGGATGACGCCCCGAAACAGACGAGAACAGGGTACGATTGACAGAGGAGCACTGAGTAGGAAGCACATGATAACATAATAAGAATGATAGGGACTTGGAAATGGTAGGACCTGGATATTAAGAACAACAAAACTCCGGACTGTGGCTGTTAGGGGATCCTGGGGTAGAGGTGACATGATCGTAGGGTACAGATAACAGAACGCCAGGATTCGATAGGATTTGGTTTGTCCTTACAATACATCATACAAATATCGATTTAGACAAACTGAAATCGATTAGGGTTAATGTGGTTTATGCGATTATCGACGGCCGAACAACAGTTGTGGGATATTTGATAGCGGATGATCAAATCATGTTGAACAATGTTCAGATGCAGGTGATTGGACTCTGTGCTGTGGATGACATGGCCTCAGTATTGATGGTTTCACCCCTGGGTTTGGAGTAATGTGTTCCGGTCACTTAACCTCGGGTTTTGTATGACCCAGGATGTGTGTGTATATATATACTCAGCAGCAAAAAAACGTCAGTACGAATTCAAAATTAGATAGGCATTGTAATCAAATCATTACAGAAATGGACATAATAAGCGGATCAAACACAGCTTTTGTGTACACTATCCTGACACATCAATGAATAATTCAGTTCCAAGACATTACGTGAACGTTTGCAGTCCACTCAGACTCTTGACTTCAGTATCTAGTGTGACCACCACGAGCGGCGATAACTACAGCACAGCGTCTATGCATGGAGTGCACCAATCGATTGATGAAGGCCATTGGCACCTGGAACCATACTCTGAGATAGGCAATAAATCGGCTGTGTTCGGCCTTGGTATGACATTATTCCGGTGACGTGCGAAATGTGGTATGACGTGGGGTCGATGTAGCGCACCACTGTGATGCAGCCTCCTCTCCCTGGACCAAGGTTCTGGAACACCACAGGACCCACTCTCTGGTTCAGGCCTTTTCCACCCCATACCATGATGCTTGCACCTCCCCATGAGTCTCTTTCCATAACACATTGATCTGAGTAGCGCTGGCCACGTCGTCACCATATTCTTCTTCTGCCATCTGCAGTTGATAGGCAGTACCGACTCTTATCTGTGAACAGAACAGTTCTCCATTGCCTGTATCGCCAGTTTTGGTGTTGTAGGGCAAACTGTAGACGTTCACGCATATGACGAGGGGTAAGGATAGGTCCACGGTAGGGTCTACGCCAATGGAGGTTCCCGCTGTTAAGAAGTTGGTATACTGTATCAGTACTGATTGGTCTTCCGTGTGTTCCCACTGTCTGGCGTGCTGTTTCGGATCCTGCATGAAGGGATTCTGTACATGCTGTCACACAACATGGCGGTCTTGTCGCCTTGTGGTCACCCTTGGTCTGCCAGTACGGGGACGATCATTTGTGGTGTTGGTGGCCCGGAAACGTTGCTGCAGCCTGTAGATGGTCCGAACGTTGACCATGAAGTGATTGGCAACGGCTTGTGCACTGTGGAATAGCCGGGTCTGAAGCCAGCTTTAGCTTCTGTTAATATATCATTCAGATCAGTCCATGCACGAAGACGTTTATCTAGGACGGATGTGAATATTTTTCCTGATACATTTATAAGCGATATACCCCTATAATTGTTGGGAT